TACCAGCGCTGCTTCTCAGCAGCTTGCAATGGCATCATCACTGAAAGAAAGGGGATAGAGCCATTAAAGAAAAAACTTGACTGCCAATTCCATCCTGTTACATATTGTTTCTTTCCTGTTACCCGTTTTTGAATTTCAGTAAGATAACCAGAATTATTAGTTTTTGTTGATAATTATTTTAAGGACAGCCTTAAAAAGTCATTTCATCAGATTTATACTTTTTGGTTTTCTTTGAAACTGTTTTAAAGACAACAAAGTTAGCATCTAATTCTATTCTGTTACGTATTGTCTTTCCTGTTACCATATTACCATTACTACATTCTTTCCTGTTACCAAATACAGTAACAGGAGAGAAGGTAACAGGACAGGAATTTTTCTCTTGTGCCAATCATTATTGAGTGATAGTTAATCCACTCTTTAAACTAATTGATGGGAAAGTAATCTTACCCCCACAAAACATACAATGATGTCAATTCAAATATGAGTCTACATAAGAAATCCTAAAAACATCAGTAACAGGATAGATAGACTTAAAAAGTACTACTCACCTATTTAACCTTTGATTGATAGGATAGAAAAAACAATCATTAATTTCTCCTTTCACTCTTCACCATGCTAAGGTTGAGGGAAGCGATCTTTGTTTGACACAGCCTCTTTTTAGTTCAGAGGGAGGGTTCAATATTTTGAGTGGAATTTTCCACAAGGTAACAGGAAGGAACTTACTTCTAGGGACAATCATTTTCATAATTTTTTTTCACTTTTTCAAGCAAAGTTGGATGAAAACAATTATAGAATCACAAACAGAAGAACAAAATTAAGTAATAATAACTTGAAACATACAGATTTATTTGAAATTTAGATCCATTTGTTTGTGTCAAAAGTCTGCTAAAAAAAATTGGGACATTGCATTTTGGCAGTACCATGAATACAGATTCATTGATTTTCCACAAAAAACAGTATGATAAATAGCAAATATGATTTTTATTCACTTATCTATTACACACCCTTTATAATAAAGTAAAAAAGTAGTTTCAAATCTTTAAAAAATTTTCCATACAACCAATTCTTTTCCAGGGACAGGAATTTTGACATGTTTTGAAAAATTCCCATATACAAAGATACACGATAACAGTAAGCTATAATACATACTCCTCGCAGTGTTTCCTTTGATTATACCTAATCCCACTTAACACTGATGTAAAGGAAGCAAATTTCTGTTCTAAATTATGACTGGTCAATAGTCCGATTAACAACCAATAGCTAACTGCGTAGCAATATCATTACGGTTTAAACAGAGCTCCAAATTGGACCAAATATGTTTAGTTATCCCCAATTAACCAGTGCATAGCAGAATATTGCAGAAAAACTAATTGCGTGAACAAATGAGGCTATCAAAACGAATACAATGTAAACAATACTGTTTGGAGACGAGCAATAATTTCACCGTTTTTAATAGCTTAAATCACTGTCCAAAGTTTTAGGGAAGATGCCAGATTAAACGATGGTCTGTCATGTTGCTTCAGGAATATGTCTATACTATTAACAAAAGATTTCCAATATATACTAATATCATATAGAAAACTATAGTATGCTCATCTGTTATATACTCTTCAAAAAAAGTAGGGGATATTGAATTAATGCAAATACCTATGCAGGTTGTGATATGATAAATAGTCATGCAACTTGACATGCTTTGGGAGTATGTTCACAGATGAAGAACTTATCGCCCCAACAGAACCACTGAGCCGCACGCGGGACACGCAATAGCGCCATACACGTGGGAGGGGTTCATTGTCAAATTTGACACTTCAAGGAAGGGGTGATGAAAACTGCCGCGTGCTGGTTTATCCTATCTATGTTTGCTTTCCTATCGGTTCTTGCACAAAATTTACTGTTTAGCGTATCTTTGCTTTGTTGTGTTACAGTTAATTTACAATGAGACGTCTACACATGCTTCAAATGGGTTCTACACAGCGAGCAGTAGCCAACATGCTTAATGTGTCACACTCTGTGATCAGCCGACTTTGGACCTGGTACCAACAAACACACGATGTTGATGATAGACCTCGTTCAGGTCGTCCTAGAGCCACTACACAAGCCCAGGATCAATACATTCGTACAGGTCCTGCGAAATCGAGGACAAACGGCCAATCAGCTTTCTGTAAATTTGTACCAAGTTACAGGAATTAGAGTTACACCCCAAACGATAAGAAATCGGCTAGATGTAGCCCATCTGCATGCGCCACGGCCGCGTGTTGTGCCTCCATTAACTTGTCAGCACATGGTGTGGCGAGGAATCACCATGACTGGCAGAACGGACTTGCATATTGTTCAGTGAAGGGTCACTGGTGGATACTACCGTGACCACATCCTGCCCTTTGATCAACGTGCTGGTCGACGTTTCATCTTTCATTATTTCAAGATGATAATGCCCGTGCCCACCGCGCTCGTGTCGTGAATGACTACCTCCATATGCCTTGGCCAGCCATGAGTCCTGACGTTTCCCCTATAGAGCATGTCTGAGACATGATCGGGAGACGTGTTCGTCGACGTCAACGTCAACCGACAACACTGCAAGAACTGGCCGTAGCACTGCGAGGGGAGTGGGTCAGATTGACCCAAATGGTGATTGGAAGGTTGATTAGGAGCATGCCACGACGAATTGCTGAATGTTTGAGGATTGGTGGAGCAATTACTCATTATTAAGACAAAAATCAAAAACGTTCATTTTCACTTTTGGCAGTGTATCTCTTTGCGAGTGAAATGGGGCCGTCAGATAAGCCGTCCATAAGAACTGTTTATGTTCATGTGTAGACAATTGGCCTGTTATTTGAAGAGTATATGTTTCTCCACAAAATCTACAGAGCAAAATATTCTTTCTATATTATTCAACAGAATATCATATAGAAAACAATAGGATTACACAACCGAATTTAGGATACAAGTTAGTTCTATAGAAAACTATAGTTTTTACCAGGCCCGTAAGCAGCTTGCTGGCTGCGGAGGGGCGGTGAAGTTGGGGGGGGGGGGGTGGGGGTGGGGGGGCACAGGCTACACATGGGTATTTTAGAGCTATGGTCTGCAACTTTTTCTTTCGGGAGGGGGGGGGCTGATTTTTACCATCAATTCTATAGCAGCACAAATAAATCTATAAGTTCATTTTTATCATAGTTTCTTACAGTATTCTATAGAATTCTATAGGAAATTACACTATAGGAAAAACTCAACCACCGATCCTATACAATATCCTATATAATTGGACAAGTTAAATAAACGCGATTTTTTTTAACAAGACAAGAAGTTAGGTCCAATATGCGCGAACATCAAACCGAGATCATTGATACATAAACATATATATTAAGTGTTTTCAAAATCGGATACAAATCGTAACCTCTAGAGGGACCACAACCTTAGATCCGATTATCACGAAATTCGAACTCAGGGTGTAACGGTGATATATTTAAACGGTTTTTAAAATCGGATATAAACTTTGAATTCTTGAGATCTACAAGCAAAAAAATGGAAATTTTTGTCACAACCAAGGTCCATAATCCAGGAGGTTACGGACCGATATGTGGACGGACAGGGGCGACTTAATCGTTAATATACGTCCACTTGAAAATGTGGGCGTACAAAAATAGCTCACCGTGATAAAACTTGGTTTTTGGAAGACTAAACAACTGATTCACCAGAACTGATATTGAAGACTTTATATAAAATGGGCTTTTTATTTTAGAAATTAAAATGTTGTCATTTGATACTCCGAATGGCCGGTTCATAGTTGTCAACGCTGTAATTTATAACAGGGCAATAATGCTAATAAAGATGGACATGTTGTTTAGATCAGCTTACCAAGCAATTAAAATCAGTGAACCAGACTAAACCCAAACATCCAAAATTTAGCACTTTTTCCTAGTTAGTCCTAGCACTGAACTATAGTAAAGTATTTCAGATCTGTAGTATTGTGAACAAATCTACAGAATGATTTTTTTTCCTATAGTATTCTATATAGCATTCTGTAGAATCCTTCAAAAATTTATAGGAACCTACACTTTTTCTAAAGGAACCTACACTTTTTGAACCTAAACTTTTTCTATAGGACTTTTTCATAACGGATTCCGGTATTTATTATCCATTTAGCATGTAATAAAAATAAAATAAAACCAAGTACGAACAATCCAAACCACAAGACAGAATTCGAAGTCCTAAAAAACGTTATAGGCAAAATAGTGTATTAAAGCAAAATAGTGACATTGACCATCACGTTTCTGCCTTTTATTATTTTAGTTTTTCGTGGCTAATATTCCTCTCCATGAATAGCCTAAATGATTTTGTTTTAATAGCCTTTATAGTACGTTTAATTGTAGCCTAGTGTGCGGGCTTTAGGCCTACACGACATTTATCTATAGTAGGCCAATATTATTAGATAGCATATTATGTCATATATATTCGTGTATTAGTCTTGTTTGTTTGCTATGCTACATGAGGACATTAGATACAACCGTCTTCATTAGCCAAGTCGGAGCCTCGAACAACAGAGCGTTCATCATGCTCATGTATTCCAAATCGTTTGACATTGACATAATAAAATCTTATCTTGTCTTATCTTATTGGCCTATAAAGCTATAACTGGTGTTGGTATTTGAGAATTATATTTTAAAAAAACAAGGTTTTACTATCTATATAAGTGACGGGTTCTGATTTTTTAAGAATGTGATGCAGAAAAATAGGATATTAAACCCCATTTCTTTCTAAGAATGTGGAAAGTGGGTCAATGGTGTCGAGAAGAAACGCATTAACATAAATACAAAAAGAGTTGTCTCCCTTTCTAGGTCATGTCAGTGCACGTTTGAAATGGAGAATTTATGTAGTTATACGGTAATATTTTGATGTTTTTGAACACACTTTCAAGTATGAAACTGTTTGTTTACTTTGTTTCTGGTAAGAAAAGCGAGAAATATGAATATTCTAATATTGTTTTCCCATGATGCTTTGCGAGAGTGTCCGCCATCTTCGCACGCGTATCTACGGATTGAGGGCGGGCTGATTAATTTCGTTATTTTGACAACAATCACATGCACGTGTCAATGTAAATAGTGTGCATTATGAGTCAGTATATTCAGGTCGCCGAGGAGGAGGGTGACGAACCAATGGAAGTACCAAGCGAAGACGATGGAACACTCCTCCTCACAACTTTAGCTGCACAATTTCCTGGATCTTGTGGTTTGAAATATCGGAATCCAGATACTGGCTCAATGCGAGGAATTCGCCTCTCCGATGGACGGTTGTATCCCCCTGATGGTAACTGGGCACGTAATTTATACATTGCCGTCTTCCCCAAAGGTAGGAATTGTTTTATTTTTACTTTGTTTACATTCAGAAGTTTGACAGTGTGTGACCTACTTTCATTTGACAGATGTCAAAATCAACCATCTGTTGCCATATTAATACATTATCAAGTGAATATTTCTTTACATGGAAGGAATTATCGAGTGACAGTCTTGTTTTTGTTGATAAAAGTATATCTAAATTACTAAAATCCGCCAAAGAGTTGTAAAATCAAAGGTAGCCCAGTTTTGACAGATCCAAACAAAGGGAAGTAACTCTTGGGCTTGTTCAGTTGTTGGTTTGGGTTCAGACGGTAACTATTCTCTCGCAGATTTTAACATTGTCTCGATGTCGTGCATCAGATATTTTTAATTTTACGTGTTTGGTGATTTGGGTAAACAATGATGCTAATAACTGTCACAAGATATTTGCAATGGCCTGCAGTGCATAGCTTTATTTACTTCCCTCCATTAAAAAATAGCCTTTCTTGGTTGACTTGGATTAAAATACATGATAATACTTAATACGTGTAAGTTGAGTAGAAGCACCAGTTTTGACTGATCATGCTTGTGTGAATGATGCATAACCCCTTTAATGAAGTAGCAACACCAGTTGTAACTGATGGTTGACACATTCTGGAGTAATCTACACATGGACATGTACTCCGGTTATGCCATGGTCCAATGTTCAAATCCATTCAGTTTGATTTTGAAGTGAATAAGCCATAAGTGTTAGTTATTCAAATCCACATTGCACACCCAGGGTTAACAGGCATAGGAAATTAACTTACAGTAACCATTAATATTTAGGCTAGGTCATGTCCTTTTTATACACTCATGTTATTGACGAAATATGGTCATATTGCCTTTGTCCCTGTCCATACACTGGTCCGTCATCCACAGACTACAATTAAATCTTGTTAACACTCTAGCAACAAAATATAAGCTTTTATGTATCGTCTGATATGTTTAATCAGTACTTTAAATGTTCAGAGTAGTGAATTGAAACATCCTGTCAAAAGTTATTTATAGGGTTAATGCTTGTGATTATATTATAGAATTAGGTCTACATGTCAATGATATTATACATAGGCCTGGTAAGTGGTAACAACAACCTAACCTCCTTTACATAAGCTTATTGAATTTGTTTTTCAGGAGATAATAGGAAAAAAGTGGAAGAAGTACCCGAAAGTTTGTCCCTTATCAGTAAAAAGAAAGAAAAAATGAAATGTAGTGATTTGATAGTACTTGGTTTGCCCTGGAAAAGTACAGAGGAAGATCTCAGAAAATATTTCAGCCAGTTTGGTGAATTATTGATGGTTCAGGTAAAAATCACGAACTCTTCGTCCAATGTATTTTGTACATTCATGATTTATGATTATAGTAATATTATAAACAATCTTTCACACCACAAATTAAAATTAGATTGGGGTTGTCAATGACATGATATTTGGGTTGCTTACATTCTCTCAGATGAATTTATAATGAAAAGTGTGTGTAAAATTAAATCCTCATTGATTTTGAGCCTGAATTTAACTAATCAAAAAATTTGATTAATTTGGATATTCCTTTTTGCTACTTAAATGTCAAAATAAATGATGACCACTATCTGTGTTTACAGATTAGAATTTTCATATAGAAATTTTCATTTTCAAGCTTATCAGAGTATTTATCCCACGTGATTGTGAAATGAAAGACTGAAAGGTACATTGTATCAACGACAATCAATTGTTTTTTGTTTAAAGCGTAAACACTGTTGTCCACCTATAGTATAAGCTTATATTTCAGACTAAATATTTATATTAGCTATCCATTCTTTATTTGAATTGAGTGATTTGTACTCTTTTTAATTTAATCCTGGTAGGATTTTAGAATAGTAGAAGTCACATGATCTTGCCCTAGATTAGTGTACATTCACAGGCACTTGAAGGGATTAAAATAAAACTTCTTACTACTGCTTGACTATATATTATAGTAATAGTACTTGAAGGGATTAAAATAAAACTTCTTACTACTGCTTGACTATATATTATAGTAATAGTATATAAAAGGTATTTCAGCCGCCATCTTTGTTTTCACGTCTTCAAGGCATTACGTCTGCTAACATCTCACAATATTCACTAGTTCTAACACTACCCGTCGTTTTTATTGCCAACGAGACCTTATTTGATCATTATTCAGCTTCCGATGTAATTAAATTGGCCATTTAACAGCGTTATTAATTACAAATCAAACGTGAAGCGCTGTCACTTGCCGAAATTCATGTTCAACGGCCCGGAAATAAGTTGTGTTTGTAGCAGTCTGTATCACCCAGTCCCACATAAACCTATCCGTTACTCGAAATTTGGTCGGTAAATGATCGAGCCTACGAAGCGAGGCCGCAGGTGCAGTCTGGATCACCCAGTTCCTAGGAAATTTTGTGTAACGGATAGGTTTATGAGGGACTGGGTGATACAGACTGCTACAAACACAACTTATTTCCGGGCCGTTGAACATGAATTTCGGCAAGTGACAGCGCTTCACTTTTGATTTGTAATTAATAACGCTGTTAAATGGCCAATTTAATTACATCGGAAGCTGAATAATGATTAAATAAGGTCTCGTTGGCAATAAAAACGACGGGTAGTGTTAGAACTAGTGAGTATTGTGAGATGTTAGCAGACGTAATGCCTTGAAGACGTGAAAACAAAGATGGCGGCTGAAATACCTTTTATATACTATAATATATAGTCAAGCAGTAGTAAGAAGTTTTATTTTAATCCCTTCAAGTGCCTGTGTGTACATTCTGAGTAATGAAATTTATAGATTTGTGTTGTCAAGGCTCTAGGGAATATAAAATACAGATACCTGTGATCTTATTTTTAATACAAATGTACTAGTAACTAAAACTATTGTTGATAATTCCTTTTTAACAGTCAGTTATCTCCCCTGGATCATCAATTTGATCCATTTGATTACCACTTCATGAAGTGACAACTTTTATTGTTGGACTGGTTACATTTAGATAATTAATAGGTAATGTTATTAAGTGTAATGTTTTCCTTTTACTGTTATTCAGGTAAAAAAGGATATAAAGACTGGTCACTCGAAAGGATTTGGTTTTGTTCGTTTTGTTGACTATGATGCGCAAGTACAATGCATCTCTCAAAGACATATGATTGACGGGCGTTGGTGTGATGTGAGAATACCCAACTCTAAGGTAAGTTTGGTAAGTTTGAATTTTGTTGTGAATATATAGTAGTATAGACACGTGAATTCACAATACCCTACCATATGAATAAAAAACATGAAATATAAATTTACTTTGAAAAGTTTTCGTGCGTTTTAAATAATGACCGGCTGTGAAAATTTTGAAGTGGACGCCCTGTATGTACCAATATTTATTATATCAAACCTTCATTGTTTAATGACCTACTAGAATTATTTGTAACAAATGTCAGGAAAAAAACTTTCCAGGATAATAATCCAACTGAGATCAGAAATTATATTCCTATATTCAACCATACATGAAAGAAGATGAAGGCTATATGCGTTAATGCTAATAATAGTGTTCCTGGTAAACTATAGAATCAGTTGACATAGAGTTTATTGTGGAGGAACAATTAGGCTGAATAGTAATAAGGGTGATCGATTTGATCCATTATAGTATTTCTCTATAAATGATGTTTTTCTTTAACACTGCTAAAAAATCAATACATGTACATTTTTCTTCAGGAGGGTAATCATAACTTGATGAATCGTAAAGTGTTTGTTGGAAGATGTACTGATGATATGACTGCTGAAGACCTCCGATGTTATTTTAGTAAATTTGGTGAGGTGGTAGATGTTTTTATACCGAAACCTTTTAGAGCTTTTGCCTTTGTTACTTTCTCGGATTCAGACACCGCCCAAACCCTGTGTGGAGAAGACCACATCATAAAAGGAGCCAGTGTTCACATCAGTAGTGCTGCACCAAAGAACAATGATAAACATCTGGACAGACGTGTGATGAACCACACCCATCTGAGTTTAAATCCCACGTATAATCAAACGTCATGGTCTCATCCTTCTCGCGCTGGTAGTCAAGGTCTAGGAAGTCAAGCCAATATGGGTGGAAATTTGTCTAATAATCTAGGTTTAGGTAATCTAGGATTGGGAGCGTTACAACTGAACCATGCCATGATAGCTGCAGCTCAAGCTGTCCTTAGTAGTCAAGGTGGATGGGGTCCATTAGGGCTGACCAATCAAGGAGGGGCAAGCTCCACAGAAAACCCAACCACCAACGCCTCCACCACAAGCTTTAGTAATGTCACAAATGGCACCATGGTTAGTAGTCCTGTGGGAAACCACAATGGTACACCCAGTAGTGGGGTTTCAGGAGGATTTTTGGGATGGGGAGGGCAACCACAAGTGACAGAGGTCTCTTCTCATAGTCCAGGTCATGTGAGTGGATGGGGAACGCAGAGTAAAACAGGGAGTGGTTGGACTTAAATGAGGTGCATGATTACAAGTGTGAAAATTTATAAGTTTTAAAGATTACGTGATGTACAAATCTGAGAGTATAAAATAACTCCAGGTTTAAAGTAGTAAAAGATGTTTTATAATATTTACAAGATTGTATGAATGCTGTTGGAGTGATCATACATGTATCTTAAAAATTATATCTGTTTAGGTTCTTGAGCCAAAAAGTAATTTAATTCACTACATGACATGTTGGTTAAATTATCTTTTCAAATACTAGAAAGTAAAGGAAATATTACTTTAAGGAACTAACTATATATCAACCTTAGAATTACACCTGTGTGTGTTTGATATTTATAATTTCACCCAAGCAGTATACAAATGTGTGAATGATCTATAACTTCAAGTTACTACTGGGTATTGTATGTTTCATAAGATATTGGTAGCAGTTCTGCAGTTTAATTGTAAGGTTGATAAATAGTTTTGTAGTAACAATGTTTGAAAACAAGTCATGAATTAACAAATTTATTTATATCATGTAAATTATTGCCATGTTATAACTGTTTGAAAACTGGTACATGTGTTGAGTGCTATAATTGTAATCATGACTGTTTTAATGGCAATACCTCAGTAATTAGAGAAAACTATATGTACTGCGTGATTGTCTCTTATTCAATTTCTTTCATTTTATGTTATCTATTTTTGTATTAGATTAAGGTTTTTTTAAACGAATACCAGTGAAATTGACGAAGAAAAATATCTGTATATGAAAGCTTAATTTAATCTTTAAAAGTGTTCAAATGTTAAGTTAAATTTTGATACCTTGATTGCAAGGTTTGTTCCTGATTAAGGGCAGACCTTGATTGCAAGGTTTGTTCCTGATACAGGGCAAACTATTCAGTACATCTATTGTATTCACATTGATCTAGTTTTGTTTTATTTTTACTTAGTTATATCTACATTTTAGTTACAAGCAAATAATTAAATATGCTCTTGTTTGCTTGTCAATATTGTGTTTTGAGTGGTTCATGATTATTTTTTTTTTCTCAAAATTTATTTATATCTATTATTGGTATTATTTATTAATATTATTATTATTATTGCACTGTCTGATCCTGTTAATCATTTTTAATGATTCTTATATGGATCTAGGAAAATGTTCAATAATTTTCATTATATATTGATGATAGATTGATAGAATTTAAACGGTAACAAAGTTCCCTCCCTTGTCAAGTTTTTGTTAGAGAAATGAATTAATTTTTGATAAGGTGAGAATGATTTTTTTTAAATTGAAAGTGTCTTAATTTTAATGGAAGTACAGAAAATTAAGTAATGAACAGTGCTTTGTTATTGTACAACTTTGATGTGCTAATTTATGGGCAGCAACTATTGTAAAAGATTTTGAGAGATGTGAGATGATGTGGTGCTCCAACCCAAGAAAATAGATTTTAAGAGATATCATATATTGAAAATTGCTTGGTAAATAGTAATTACATGCCATGCAACATGTATGTACAAAAACATAATTTGAATTTGGCAGAATTCATACGAAAATTCTTCTACCGACTTTTCATTATCAGTAACATACATGTATTTGTAAAGAAAAAATAGTTCTGTTGTGAATCTTTCATGGAGTCCAAAAGCTCATTTCTTGTTTTTTTTTTTATGACTTGAAAAATTATTAACCAATATAGGGGTAAACATTATTTACTAAAATACTGAATGAAACAAATTTCTCATGAAACTACAATTAATTGATTAAAAATACTAAATATACCTCTAAAAGATGACAAGAATTCTGTTTTTAAATCAAAGCAATTTTCATGAATGTTTAATATTGTTTGAATTGATTTATTGAGAATATATTACTTGCTTGTTTACTGGATTGAATCAGTGGATTTTGTTAATGGTTGGATATGTTTGTTATATATAAATATATATATATATTATACTACAGATACGTTATAAATTAAAGTGTGCTTTGAAAAGTAAATGGTTGGAGTATTTAATTATGAGTGGTGTGTGTTTATTGTGTATGATAATCCAGTAAGGTACTTGGTGTTTGGAGCACCCCTACCCCCTGTTTTTTTTTGTTTTTTTTTTTGTATTCAAGACAGAGATATATTTTCCCGTTTTATGATGAAAAAAAAAATGAAGCACAGTTTGTGTGCATAATAATACGAGTTATCAATTTAAAGAAGATTTTTTTTTTTTTAGAACTGAAGTTGTTTTGATAATTAAATTCTCTCCCACTAAAATGACTGTTGTTGATATATTTTGAGGCAAGTTTCTATGTAGTAGATAGTTATATATTTCTATTATATATATGTTAAATATATATTATATCTACACGGTATTGCCCCATGTTTAATTACCAGGGCTGAAAATGAAGTTAAGTGGAGAATATAAAACCACACCAGACATTTTCCTCATTTCATAAAAGTTTGTAACAAATCCTAGAAATAAAGTCTCAAAATATGATATTCAGAACATTTAACCTATAAAAATTCTTGAAATTTAGAAATTTTAGGTACATGATTAATTGGTACAGAATGCAACAGTAATGTTAATTGGTTATCTGTATTAAAAAAATAAACAGGCTGTACATCATCAGCCCTGGTAGATGTTAACTCGTGTGTGTGTTACATATATTCTCTGTGGCAATTTTCTCTATTTAACTTTAGCATGCATGAATTCTCATTAATATTATTATATCTGTGTATGTATCTTGTTATTTATTGTATATAGTCTATTATTGAGGTGTAATTGTTAGCAAGATATTTGAAGGTGATGTGTGTGGTCATTGAATCACAAATTTTTATATCTGTGGGAATATGGTAGAGATCCATAATTTTTAATTACAGTGTATTTAAAGTTTTTAACATAGTATATCATAGATTATATGTGGACATAATTAGATGTCAGATCACTGTCGGTTTCGATAAGTGTACATTCTCATACTGAGGACTTGTGTCACCTAGAATTATCATGTGAAGGATTAAAAGGATTTTGTGATCATTTATCTAAATTATGTTTGTATATAATACTAGTACACACCACATATTGGCCATATAGCTGCTGATGTACAAGTTCCATTGTACTTTTACATGTTTTAGTATATATTGTAATATTTAAGGGTTTGATAGCACATTTGATTGACATGTTGTTTGGAAATTTACATACCGCCAAAAGCCTTCAAGAATCCATATTTGATACTCTTTGTTTGGAACCCTGATTATTGCTGTAATATTGATAAAGTGATAATTACTTGTTGATTAAATTACATAAGTATTGAAAAATTACAAAAGTATTGTAAGTGTATGGTAATTGCTAATTAGAACCTATGGTAACCACAATACAGTTAATAAACCAGTGAGACGTGAAACTAAATATTGATGAAGTTTATTGTTTTAATGTTTTGAAGCATGATAAATAAAAACAGCTAAACATGTATTTTTACAGACCCTAACTTTTAATAGCCTATACTCCAAACATCATTGTATGTTGTTTTATTAAAGATGAATGTATTTACATTTTATGTGTTATTCATGCAATTTTTTATATTTTCACTGAATCCACATATTACCTCTTTAATTTTTTTAAAAGGAAAAAAAAAGACTTAATTTTTTTTTTTTTGTCTTTGTTTGCATCATTTTTTTCGTATTTAGATTATTTATTAGGATGTGAGTTATGAAAGATGATTTTGAATGATCAGAAAATGGAATTATTTAAGAAGAATATATTATTGGTTGTTATATCATGACTGACTGTTCTTTATATTATCTCCATATTTCTATGTAAGAATGATATTTTACATGTACATATTCTTTAACAAACAAAAAAAGCTTAATGGAGAGCCAAGTATGATCATTGATTTTTAAAAAAGTAGATTTTTATACTAAAACAAAAAGCACGTAAAGTGAACTTTATTTTCTTATTGAATATTATGTGAGACCTGTCTGTGTTTGCTAATTCATTGTTAATCATAGCATTGATCTCCCTAACAAAAATATTCTATAGGTAAAAGCAAAGTTTATTAAATGAAAATGGAGAAGGGTTTCTAAAATTCATCCAATTCAATTCCACAATAGTTATAAAACCTGGTATAATACAGTTTAATATTGTATTTTAATTTAATTGATTGTTCAGATAACATTAAATGTGAATTGGTTATTGTCTTTATAAAAGTCTCTCATATATTTCACAGATGTCATAACATCTTAAGCAATTTTATACAGTTATCACTAAAATTGCAAGAGCTTGGTTAAGTGTTTGAAGGATTGGTCTTATTGAATATTGCATTTTTCAAAGAGAAATTGGTTTCTGTAAGATAGGTCTCAGAGTCAGAATAAAGAATTTGGGATTACAGGCAAAAGTGGAAAGCATCCTTCATATCATTGGTTTGAAAGTTTGTGGCTTTATATTTATTTTAGAGCTGGACAACCATTTATTTATAAAATACAAAACTATTAGCATTCTATACCCAAAATGTGCAAAATATTTACCAGTAACAAGTATTTCTTTGATGTGATATATCTTCAGATCATATAAAACAAACTGGACATTAGTTCATAAAAATATTCAGATCATAAAAAACAGATTAGAATATTAGTTTATAACAAATCTTAAGATTAAATAAAACAGATCAGAATATTAGGTTGTAGGAAATTGGTAACTCTTTTAATATTGTTTTGACAAGTTCATGGTTATACTAAATAAACACTTCTTTTGCGACTATTACTTAACAAAAGGGATCAGCATTGATGATAACATTTCCTGGAATGTATCTGAAGTCTCAGAGGGCAAGAAATAATTTGCTGAGTTCTGATGTTTTTGAAAACACCTACACATTAGAAAGTAAATTGTTATTTAATTATATGCCGATGGTATCTGTCATTTGAAATTCGCTGGATGTAACATGAATTTTAGTTAATGTGTTTGAGGATTGATGTATTCGAAAACCATACTTTGTTTTATAATTAAGGGTTGTTCAGCTTTAAGAAGGATTGTGTGTGTATTTTTATTATTTATTATTATCTATTAGATTTTTATGCTCTTAACCTCAGTAGTTTTGTCTTCCTGCAGTCCAAGCTGCCAGTATCCTGTCATTTGTTTTACCATACAAACACTAAGTAGTTTATTAGTTTATATAGTAGGTCAATTGGTGTTATATATATCAGTAGTAATCCATGATAGGATCATCTTAATATTACATTAATCTTCTGTTGTCATCTGTAACCATGGAAACACATTCTTACACCCCCATTTAACATGTGACTTTGATTTAGGAAAATAAATCTCTGTTGAAAACTGAACATATAATATTTATTTTTATTGATAAAATTAAGATAATGGGATGGACAGTAAAATTCTACAGCTAACTTTTGACTTGAGCCAACTTGATATAAAAACTTAGACATACATAACAGTTAAAAAAGAAATTGTGTTTATTAATAATTAAAGGGTTGATAAATCATTTAGCTCTATAGGAATCTCTTACAAACTACAATATTATGAAAGTTTAATCTCGAATAGGAATATCAGTCCGAAAAATGGTTTAATTCCGTTAAGTATTTACAAAGTTTTAACATGAAATTTTATCGATGCACTTGAATACATGGTGGGAGACTATCTAGCATTGGTATTTTGATTTTGTTTTCTTAATTAAATGTTAAATAATCAATCTAAGCAAATATTTAGCATGTATTAGGCTGTGAGAAATTTGATATTTTAAAGAAAATGGAAATTAGCGGCACGCATCAAGCCTTGAAATTGTAAGTGGAATTTATGCGCTGGACTATTGAAAAATTTGATTATGGTACCGTTAATATAAAATGTAAAAATGTGTTTTCCTGGTTTAAGAATGTTTGTGTTCTGAGTTAACTCGCTTGACTTTATTTTAATATGTTGTTATAAACCCAGTGCCTGGTATGTTGTTAATTAATAACTTGTTGGTAAACCACAATCTAATATATATTTACTATATCTAAACTAAAGGTGCATTTTTATCATTTTCTGTGTTAAATGTTTTATTTACATAGTTTTAAAAAAAAGTTTATTTAGAAGGGGCTTATTTTATATACTTGACACTCAGATCTGGATTCATTCTGAAGCATATATATATATATATATAGTTAACTTTTGAAATGTCTGTCTTATTCTGGTCTTAGAGAAATGCTACATGGTGATAATTTGATTCAAGGAAGTTGATGTGTATTGATAAAATCTTTTTGTAAGAAAATTAAGAATTTTCAAAACTGGACCAGAACACAAACCTGGGCTTTTGAAAAAGGAGTCTTTCACTTGTGACAGTCATCATACACAAAGTAGTGTATTCCTATGTTTTATAGAAAACCAGTACTGCTAAAATGTTAAGATAGCGTAAAGTTTGGTTGTAATTTTGTTTTGGAATTATACACCATTTAAAAGCCAAAAGCACCCATAGAGTGAAGGATGAATAATTAAGAGCATATATTTAGTTGTGGTCATCTTAATTTAGCCTTCTTATATAACTTGCCAGTAACACTCATTTATATATCTAATAATGAAAGTGGTTAGCTATAGTGTGTCAGAGGACGATGGGACTAGGGAGTTGTGGAAGATGAGTTGCAGATGTGCTTCTTTGGTTTGTCTCATTTTTGATTGAAATCATGGTTAATTTGAGGCCGATCCATTCCTTTTATGGGAAGTTGCTCAAAAACAGTTTATCCGTCAATATAGTTATCATCTACCCATTTCTCTTTTCTAAATCTGAACTATATGAATACTAGTGGTTCCAAGTTAACAAGTCTAATAATGTTTGGTGTGATTTCATGTACATGTTATTGTTGTATCTCAAAAAAAGATTCATTATAATTTATCATTTTACAGATTTTAACAAGACATTGAGAAAAATTGGATGTGTATAGTGGAATATTTGAGTTGAATTTGTGCATCTACTTATGTGTGAATTACTTGAGTTATACTGTGATTTTATTAAAGTTAAATTCAGTTCTTTACAGTGTAAAGTTTATGCAGGGTAATAGCAGTGTGAGTGATTTGCATACTAAACAGTTTCTATGCAAATGAAATTGCAAGAATCATATTAGCTGACAAAAGTTGTTTTTGCATGTGTGTAACACCCAAAATAAATTTGAAAATAAATTGTGCCACTGAGTTTTGCGAATTGAGTTATATGGATCCAGACATCCATCATAATGGAATCTCTACTTACAGGGTTGTCTAAAAGTATTCTACTATATTGGAAATTCTTCAGAATTCTTAATCATATGTTTACTAACCTAAAAGTACCCCATATACTAATAATTTAGATGTAAGAGTTCATCACAAGATAGTAGGGTACTTTTCAACTACCCTGTTGATATATTTGTTACAAGAGAGCCTATTAGAGATTCGTATATTTCAAAACTTAAGTTATATCTTTATTTATATATTTGAAGAGAGGGTAGGACTTACTTCATATTGTTATTATTACAATATTATTTTCAACACTGTTAGTATGGATTATTTCACAAGCCCACTGCAACCTGGATAATTTTGTCTTTTTCTTCCTTTATAACCTTGATTTAATTTATGTTAAATGAAAGTCTTGAAGGGTGGGCAAGGAATTATTATCCACGGTAACCAAAGTTTTGTGAATTATTATGTAAGATATTAATTACAATAGATCTGTAAACAGAAATGATCTAAAGTAAGGCACCTTTCTCAGGAAGTTTGACTTGTTATATATTTTTGATATACTGTTAAAAGAGTACGTGTGGGGTAGAAACAATCCAAGTTTCTAATTATGGTTCTTGAATATATCTTGATAGGTGAAATCGTGTTAATGACTAGATATGTTATCAGTTATTTGTCTTCTGAATATTTCATTAAAACATAAGATCCAACTGAGCTGTTGAAATTAACAACTGAGTGATTGAAATTAACAACTGAGGATATGCTGAGCATTGGTTAAAACGTATTCATAGTTAAAACTGATTTGGATTAATTACTGGTAAAACTAAATTGTTATCAAATCAAATTCACTGCATTAGTTGATCAAGTGAACTGAAAATGTGCCATATAGAATTTGTTTTTATTTGGACAGTTGATTAATTCTTTTCATTAACACGACAACACTTTAACGTGCAGTGTACATGAAATCCAAACTGTGTGTCTGTCTGCCTGTCTATCTGTTTGCTATTCTGGTGTTTTGTGTGTAGAATTTTCTGACATACTTGGCAGCAGTTATACTACTTAACCTAATAAACTTTGCTTTACAAAATTTGTGTTGTTTTTATTTAAAAAAAAAAAAAAAATCATAACAAAGCATAAACGTGGATGGAGATCGCAGTGGTGGCTTGTTTTACAGCAGCAAAGTCGTCACTGCTAGTTGTAAACCATGTTACTGAAATGAAATGAAATGTGGTTTAACGCTCTACTTTTCTGCACCGACTGGGATGATGAAGACGGCCATACAGTGTACTAAGAGGGAAATTTTGCCTAGACATCGGCACTACGGCCTACTATTATTTCGAATTCCAGCTGTCAAGGGTTCTTTTACGTGCACAGTCTGTACACAGCACCTTGGTTTTCATCTCACCTGTACCACTGACAAAAGGATATCACACCAGGAATCCCGAGGAACTTTCTCAGTCAACACCGGGTGCAAACCTAAGACCTGGCAAGTGTGCCACTAAATTATCCCGTGATGCATATAATATTTTTTTATTAATTCTCTTTAAAATTTCTGACGATTAGTTTCTAAAATTGAAAGGGGCAGTGTCTTACTTCCATACTTAAACCTTCTTCAGGTATATATGTTTTGGCTAAAATCTTGTGTTCTAAACGTGTATCAATTTACCACCACTCAAATAGTCCCAATTTGAGCATTTACTTCCGAAGATAAACGTGAAGAATCGTGGATACCACAATATTTCATTGCCATTCCGAACAATAAATGCTCTTACGAACTAGAGCCATGGTGACCGACATAACACGCCAAGAACTATACATAATGTTATTGTTGACGATTTCTTATAGATCATGTCAATGCACCACATTCGTATGAAAATATTTTCCATCCTCATTTCCAATAGTAATTGAGACACTTCACAACACACACTACCTAAATATTGAGTAGATACGATGGTGCTTATCGACCGAGAACAGGGGCGGATCCAGAGGGGGTGGTGGGGTGGGGGTCGACCCCCCCCCCCCCCAGCTCAGCTACATAATTTTTTTTGTAAATCAACACTTTTTATAAGAAAGGTTTCTCGGCCGTGTGCTTTATCCTTTATCGTCAGATTTGGGACAGGATGGGCACTCAAAGCACGAGATAATGATATAGACATTATGTGATATCACAATTAATGCTTTGCATCCATGAAATTGAATCGCAATGTCATTGTACTAATTCATAATAAAAATTGACGTCAAACGAGGTGTTGGTTTTCTCTGTTTAAAAAGCTCAATATACGCCAAAATGACGATAGAGACCATGCGGGAGGGGGGAGGAGATACGTTGTCTCAGGAACATGACCCCCCCCCCCTGCAAAAATTCCTGGATCCGCCCCTGGAGAATGGACAAGACTACTTCGGAAAACATCGTGTAAACGGGACCTCAGTGTTTTGTCCTATCCGAACGACTAGACAAGAGGAAACCATGCCAGAAACGCAACTGAAGCAGCCACTGGTTCCCTTCATAGACACTGTGACTCAGTGAGTAAGATGTAGGCTCGCTATCCTGTGTGTTCTATCCCTGTGGTTCCCTGCGTCAGTGAAGCAGGAAAGAGTCTAGCCAGGGACAACGTAAAGGAACTCGAGTGGGTTGAAAACCCCAGGTTCCGTGTATACAACTTAATAAACATTGTCCTTAATGCCCTTTTTAACCTGGGGAGAGAATATCAAAATTGTCATGAACTCCCGAATCTGAGTTGTTGATTGCCTTGGATTGCTTCGTAATAAATAGCCCATCGATCAGCTGATAGACCTTCTAATAAAATAGTTTTCATATATAATGGTCCACGTTAATACAGCTTTAACGTCCTACTGTTCTGCTCCGAACTGGGCTAACGAAGACGGGCATACGCCATACAGTGTGCTACGAGGGAAATTTTGCCCGAACAGCAGCACTACGGCCTACTTTTATATTGAATTCCAACTGTCAAGGGATCTTTTACGTGCACGCCAATGTGTACACGGGACCTCGCTTTTTCGTCTCATTCGAACGACTAGACAGCTGTCCTTGTCAGGTCCTCCGTCCTGCATCACTGACAGGGGGAACCAGGCCAGCGGAAGCAATTCATGAAGGGGGGGGGGGCTACCATCGTAGGACATTAGGCTAGGGCCCAGGGACCGCCTACCCCTACCCCACTTTACAACATAGAAAATGTTTTTTTATTTTTTTTTTATTTTACAAACAATTTTAAAACAAAAATCAATTATATAATATTCATTTAAAAAAAAAAAACTTAAAATTGACAGGCGGGAATAATGTTTAAATGAAAATTACAATACATAACTTGACACATTTTACAAATAATTTTAAAACAAACAGCAATTATAATATATTCATTTTTTTTTGGTGGGGGGGATAGTAAATCCTAATCATTATTATGAAAAAAAACCCCACCCCAACAAGGAATTCGAATTGCCCAACTTTTTAGTCTTATATTGGGGAATATAACTGAAACATATGTTTCCTTTTTTAAACTTGTTCCCGTGGGTTGGATAAAAGATATACCGTGACAGGGCTGCCTCGCGCATGCTTACTCTTTCCGATACGCCTGATAATACATTGTCATGGAAACATCAGCCATTGTGAGATGTGTACCTGGTAAAGGCAGATTAGTAATAACACTGCTTTGTCATTAATTTGGTATTCATGTACTTGGCTTCCCTTTTACTTGGCTGTATTATTTTCACACACCCATTCTCACTATATCCTTTGACTTAGCACACCCGATGTTGTAAAACACCGCTCTAAAAGAACTCTGCGGCATAAATGTTGTAACTAGGAAAATAGATATCCCATCATTATACGTTATTAAATACTATTTAATATTCTATGTACTTTCCCACTTTTCAAAGGATCTGGGCGATTTTGATTTTATTTTTTTCTAACCTCAGCTATAATAAACCGGACCACATTCGTTGAACTGAATGTTTTGGGGTTTTTTTTGTAATTTATTCAGAGCAATAATTATCCACCACCCTTCACATAATTATTTACATGATCAAGCTTCTAAAAATACGAAAACAAAATGATATTAATGGAGTATGATCTAGCTTCAAAAGATACGAAAACAAAATGGCATTAATACAACAAATCTCGTGGTCTGAATATTGGGGAGGGGTTGCGGGTGATTGCGGGGCGTGGGGATTATCCTCGGTTAAAATGACTTAAATTCAATGTTATCAGTCGAATCAGTTCTTATCTACGTCATTGCCTCGTCAGTGGTAGGCGTGTTTTCAAATATTTCGCACCCAACACCATTGAACACACTTTTACTATGATCCTATTATTAAAGTTCTAAATATATATTAAAATTTTATTTGTATCGTAAGTAATAAAAGAGAGCTATATCTCCTTGAAAATCATAATAGCAATAAAATTATTAAAGTCGATATCAGTTATTTTGCACGTATAAGCCATTTAATTGGATGGCGTTCAATTATCATATTCAAGCACAGGTGTAGCTATATCATACATCAACAGTAGGGCAGGAGAAGGAATCGATATCAAACGCTTCCCCAGGTGGGGATTCTGGTGAAGGAGGGGGTAAATCGTCAGGGGATGGTGAAGAAGTGGAAAGTTTGATTTGTTTGTGACCATCGTCAGCTTCGACTATATCCAACCGAACTTCAGTAGTTTTAGTGGATGTATCTGTAGGTTCGTCAACAACATCTGGTGTTGAAATGGGAGGGGGTGTGATGTCTGTAACCTGTGATTTATCAATGAACTCTATATCTTCGTCTTTAGGACCAGTTTCCGGTTTATCTTCATTGGTTGGAGCAGATGAAAATAGCACTGAATCTAATAAACTGAAACGTAAAGACAAATAAAATGTGTTCATTCGAAATTTGCATTAATAGGGACAGTCCCAGATTCTACGGGTCCCCCGTTGATAAAAGTACTACTGACGTCAGATCATGTTTCTTCCACGCTGCAATGTATCTGGGCGACTCTTTTAAGAAAAATCGGAAGGGTGAAAAATGCGTAGACGTATTTACACCAACATAAAGTAATACATCCTGAATTCACCGCGGTACACTTACTCCCTCCCCTGACCATATATTGCAATTAATTGCTATAATAGGTGATTAATTAACTTGTAAGCATACCTTTCTTCGATCCTTTCTTGTTCCTTATTGTTATCTTCACTGGACTGCCCTTCGCCATTAGTAATTTGCTTCTCTATTTGAGCCTCGACTTTATTCTCAATCTTAGCTTCAGTATTGCTTCCATCGACTGTGTTGTTCTTCTCCGTTTGCTGTTCGTCAAGATCTATAGTAGTAAATCCGGCATCACTAGGACCTGGGGAAGGTAAACCATTATCCTCAATTTTAGTCAGTGTTATGGATTCTGGGACATTCTTTTCTTTTTCGTTCGTTTTTGGAGATTTACTTATATTCAAAGACTTGCTTTTTCGTTTCCGCAAACACCGTGGTATGCATATAACCATCAGTAAGGAATATAATAGTAAAAAGGCAACAGCAAGAGCGAGGACAAAGGCTACAAGACCAATACGACCGAAATCAGACTGCGGTTGGATCGGATTGGGATCCGTCTCTGGTTGTGGTGGTTCCGACTTAGGTTCCGGCTTAGGTTCCGAATCAGGATCTTTTGGAACTTGTGGTGGTTCGGACTTGGATTCCGGCTCAGCTTTTAGCGTGGTTTCTGGCTTAGGTTGGGGTGTGTTTCCAGGCTTAGGTTTTGGAGAATTCTGTTTTTTTTCAGGCCTAAATGTTGGTGGTGTTTCTAGTTTAGTTTTTGGCGTGGTTTCTGGCTCAGGTCGCGGTATACTCGGTGTGTTTTCAGGTTCAGGTTTTGGAGAATTCGGCTCAGATGTAGAAGAAGTGTGTGACATAAATTCGGATGGCACTGTAAGAGTACTTTGCGAAAGGGAATAATTTGCGTCCGTTATAAAATCTGGCGTTGAATCATCAGTTGTTGATGGGAGATCACCTGACTGTACATCTGTAGTAACTATAAAATATTGAAATATGGTATTATCAGGCGATTCACATAATACACATGAATTATTTAATGCGTCCCGATTGCTCTGGCAAATCTCTCTTTTCTAACATTTTAATACCATTTGCACCCCTTTTTCGTTACCAGGTACCATTTTAAAAAATAGTGTAAAGGTCGGGTTAAAGATATATTACTTTGATGCTTGCGGTTTTGTTTAGATGTGGTTTGTGAGGCTCCCTTTTCTTTTGGAAATATAAACAATATCACCATCACAGAATATTGAATTAACGAAGTTAGAATGGACGGAACACACTCAGGATCCTACACATACTAATTACGGACTGTTGCCCTGGACTGTTGCCCTGAACTCCGGGCTAGTCACAAACACTTACGTATACTGTAGGACTAAAACCAGCACACAATGCTCCCATATTAATCGAAGCGGGGAGGATAACCATTATCGTTTAAGTCGAAAGCCGAAGAGGTGTCACAGAGGCGGGTCAAATCACCCATGTAGACGCAGCAAAAGTCAGTGTATTTAATTACATTCAATAATATTTTGAAGACATTTTAATTCTGGACAAGAGAGACTAAGGTTTTTTTCTTAATATGGTTAACAGCAAACTAAACGGATAAATATGTCAAGTTTGATTGAATTGGTTTATTAGCTACTGAGAACAACACTTACCACCAGCTTGTCGTTTTAATCGAACGGATCGTTCTACTCTTATTTCAGGAACAAACGGATCGTAGACGCCAATATCTCCACGAGTAGGCCCCTTGTCTTCCTCAAGTTCACCATTTACAAATGTGTCACCTATAAGATTAACAGATATAGATTAAGACTGATTTATTAAAGCGAGAATTTCATATTTTCTAAGAAAGTCAAAACATAATTATTTCTATGTCTTTTGCACAATAGGTTATCAACTCACTATTATACGATCATAGGTGTCATTCTCACACTTAAAACTCATTTACACAGGAAATAACAACACAATTACCTCCCTTATTTTCCTATTGAAAACAATGGTCAGCCATTTCCTCAACGTTGGAATTTGAAGTTGAAAATGATATTTTTGCCAATTTCTCAGCTGGCAATAGTGAATTATAGGATTAATAGGATTATTCTTTAACAAGGTAGGACTGTTTATGGATACCATATATTTTAAGGCTTTATTTTAATAAATTTTAAAAATATAACTTAAAAATTTGAAAATTCCGCTTTAATGGCCACTGATTTAAAAATTCAACTTGTGCATACTCTGTGCATATACGGAAGTGGATGGGACTGGATGATCATTCTATACATGTTGAATGGTCTTCGTCCAAGATAATAATATAAACAGTATAAATTTTGATTCAGTTCATTGGGGGGCGTAAAATTTAATACTCAAACTTTTTTTTGCATGTAATTAAAATGTTTAAACATCCACCGACCTTCATTATAGAGATAAAACGATTCTTGTTTTCTGCCGTCTTCAGTAATTTTGAAACAGACATAGGTACCCGAATCTTCTGGCATAAAATTTCGTATAAAAAGACGTGAATATCTTCCTCGATTGTACTTCATAGAGAAAATTCTGAAAACATTTAATGATAGTAATGTATCAGTAACAAACTAAGATTACATGTATGCTGATGACACACTCATTATTGTTTAGAAAAGTATAGTTATGGTTATAGTACCAATAATTCCGACTTTTTTGTATACCCGCATGCAAGATTTGTGTGCATGTTTCGAAGAAAGGGAAATCCATACCCCGCGGGAAAGAATACGCACGGCGAAATGTTAAACAAAGCGCATGCTCTTGAATCGGTGTCGTCAATGAGGATTTATTCTACTGGGATCCATGGCAGGCTGTCGAATATCCGCCAGTTAATCGACTGTTAAAATAAGTACATGTACGAGCGTCATCCACGGAACAAGCATGCTAAGTTTCTTGTCGACCGTACTTGAATTGGCGTCGCCCCCAAGAAGAGAAAACCGGACAGCAAGAATAACAAGATCAGAATCGCCTGGTGTTCAGTTCCTCGTCCACAAACTCACAACGGGAAGCCTATAAAACATGACAGGTGTGTTCAGGCTTTAAGGGATATTTATTTAGGTGTTTTAGACAGAGTAGGCCTAAGTATAGGCCTACCTTATCCAAAATGCCAAAAGCGATTATTTGGATAAAAAGTAATCGCTGTGAAGTACCGTTGTGATAGTTTACGTAGGCCCTACTTATTGGGAAGTACATTTAAAAGCACAATTTGGAACGATTTTTGTACGAACCTTCCAGAATTTTCCACCAATGTATTTGTGTTATCATACCAACCGAATATTCCTGTCGACCCTACCCCCGAACATGTGGCATCACAAAGAACGCTGATGTTACTACCTGGGGATAATTCGGCTGACTCCACAGATAATTCTAAATCACACGTTACTGGAGCCGAGAATACAATATAGTTGGTTAAACCTGAAATAAGCAAATATATCAAATAAATCTTGCAGACATATTATACCTGAATCGTGTAGATTGTAATCTGGCACGTGTCAGTTCCATTAATTGTATTGCTACATGTGGACCTATTACGTATTCTCAAATATAAATACTAAGGGGCTGTCATTATGTAGTTCTTCTCGATATATTAGTCTGTGGGATTTTCTGTTATCCTTAAATCACCCCTGTATGTTATGTGAGTTTTGCCCGGAATTTCCATCAATTTGTACGAATCTTCTGTTTTAAATATTACTCTCATGATCGGACCCATTATGTCAGTCCCCTCAAGTGCCAAAGTGAGAACCTGACTTAAGAAATCGCGGTGATCCTTCTAAGAAAATTAAAGTATAAACCATGTCATGACTGGTTTGGAAATTTTAATCCCAATGGAGTTTAAAGAAGGTCTTAATTTTGATTAAAGTGATATATTTTCCTGATATGTTAATATTATTTATGGTACACGTATGTGTATTGTTTTAGTGGTCACTGACTGATTTACATTTCATGATCAGACCATACTCCAAAGGATTATCAATTACCTAAACTATAGGCTAACTACTTAATCCCTAGGATATCAGTTAACTGATATAAAGTATTTAATGTCCAGAATAGAAGTGATATAGTATTCTGGATGACTGGGGTATATATATACTAGTTTTGGTTACCATATCACTAGCTTACCGCTTGTTTGTTAAAAATGAAAGGATATAAAATGGGGTTTAATGTCCTACGTTTCTGCACCAAGCGAGTAATGCTTACTGCATACGGGCATGCGTCATGCAGTGTGCTTTGTGGAAAATTGTGTCGGGACAGTGGCTTTTCCGCCTACTCTCAACCGAATTCCATCTATCAAGTGTTTTTTTGCGTGGACGCCATTATGTATACACGGACGAACGAAGGCAAGGGGAATCCTAATTAGAAAATTCAGAGGAACTTTTATTTAGTCATGAACTTGTTTTATTATAGTGCGGTAGTCATTCATTTCATTTCAAAAATGTTTTGGGTTACTTTTAAACTATTTATGTAATACTGAATGGTACCCATAAAATAACATAAGAATATTAGACACATTGTCCCTCTTATTGCAGTCATTGAATAATGTGTACGTATAATAAACCCAGTGTATATTTCTAACTGGTATATTATGTCTATTATAATATGTAATAGTCACATACGGAAATATCAACTTGAAAACTTGATAGAGGGGATCTGAAAACGCGGTTGGTGAAATAATTTCAATGGCCGACACATTTTTCAGTCGCTGCTTGTTTCTACGTACGCCAATAGCGGATATAAGTTACATCTAGGCTGAGATATTTTTGATCTCACCAATATTCTTGTAACCTGGTACGACAGGCTATCCTACCAATGAATCATTAATTGACGCCGTGGACATTGTTCGATAGTGGTTTTCAATCGTGGGAAAGTTGCCTTTCCTCTCAGAAATTAATAAACAATTTACAATTCTAATTGAATTATAAAAGAGTATGTTTTCAATTTTACAAAGTAAATAAAAGAGACTTGAATGTCCGCCGCGTTGTTCAAAAATGGGTATGCGATGTCTTCTTAAAACAATAACATTTGAGCATAGACATTTGAGTCAGAAGTTGAAGGGAGGTTTCTCACACCACGATGCTTCACGTAATTGTGACATTTTCTAACAATTTATATAAAATAATCCCAAAAGTGCCCATAACATTTTTTACCGACCCGAAACATCTAGATTTGCTGGGATTGTAACTTGAAATGTTTTGCGCATTTTGGAATATCTATACTACCACCGAGGATTAAATGGAATACTTATGTAAGCAGTGACAACAAAAACACCAAAAAAAGAAAATAATATAAGAAACAATATAAACAATAGAACAAACAAATGGATGAAAAACTTACCAAATATAAGCAGTAGCCAAGTAAAGCGAATACTCATCGTGGTAGTATCTGTTCTGTTGCTCCCAAACGTGACTGCTCGTCAGCTGCAGGGATTCTACGATGAAAGAGGAAGTTGTATTACTGTAATGGCGTCAGTTCAGCCCGCCCTGTCGCTTCCTTCCGTCATATCTTATTTATTCCTATATGCAATCATTTTCTCATGAACACAGTTCATTTGTTTTGGAAGATATGAATTTTCTGACCATTATAGCTTTACAAAACGGCGCAATAATTGTGGGTGTGGCGATGGTGGTTTTATGTGTTTCGCTAAGTTTTGTCCAACCGTGAAACTTTCGCTCACAATCACCCACCCTGATCGAAATGATTCAGTTATTACAAGAGTTTCTCTTATCACCCCCCCCCCCTCAAAAAAATAAATAAAAAAGAATAAAACGTATATGGGAAAAAACATTCCTACTTATGTGTCTATTGCCTGAAATTACGACTTACGCTCAAGAATCGCGGAAATCAACCGCTTTAAGCTGTTGTTGGTGGTTGGAAAGAGAACTGTCATAGACAGGCTAAAGTCGTCCACTCAATTGAGGTCCAACTTCTTCAGTTAAACGCCTTCTTCGCAGCATTGCCAAATGGCGATTAAGTCACTACATTTGCGATTGGAAACTTTGAACTGGGGTCAATAAATCAAAAAGGGGAAATGACCAGTCGGTCCAGTAATTAAAAGAAAAGATTATCTAAAGGACAAATAAAAAATTGTTCTTTTCAAGCTAAGAGAGAGAGAAAGAGAGAGAGAGGGGTCATTTCGCTGTACGAGTTGCTGTAGCAATGGCAGGAATACGGAGGACCTTGAGGAAACCCACCAAGTTGGACAGGCGACCTCACTCCTTATCAAGTACACACTGGGAATAGAAACCACGCTACTTGGCTCAATAATAGACACTATGATCTAAAGCGCACGTGTTAGATCACTTGTACCCCCCAAACCACCTCTTTTCAAGCAATGACCCGTCTTCATTAGTCCAGTCGGGGTAGAACAGTAGGACGTTAAACCCCATTTCATTTCATTTCAAGCATTAAATCACCTTCTATACAATGGATATATACACTACCCCATTATCCTTAACAAAAGTGAAAACGTATAAAATAAAACTATTTAATTATTCAAAAAAATTTTAATTTATGAAATATATACACACAGAATAAGATGAGAGAATTTATCTAGCAATAATAGGTTGAGGAAGAGGCTGTACTGGGTTAGTGTTAGGATCAGTTGCAGGGTTAGATATATCATTTTTATCTTCCTCCATCATACCATCCGTTGTAGTAATACGCGCTGAAACGGACAGAACTACTATTATCTATATGATACATTGATATCGATATCCCATCTCTAAATCCTCGTTGAACGTTGATTCATTGAAAGTATGTCTACTATAGTATGTACATATAAGGGCATAAAAGGTCCATGGCAAAACACTGCTGCCTACCGATGTCTCGTAAAACTCGTACATACTGGTATTTTTTTTCTTCTCGTGTCTTGTATATAACACAATGTCAATACATTTTTCCCGAAAAATATATGACACCCATGTTTGAAGTATTTGCCCCAAAATGACACTTATTTATCTATCTATACTAATATTTGTGACTGTCGTTTGTCTGTCTGTTTGTCTGTCTGTTCGGGGTTGGCGGCTACACTAGGTCTGCCCCGAGTCTGAAATTTGGGGTATAGGGGTAGCTCGGACCGGGGAGTAACATAGGCCAGGTGGCGTTAGTCTACCACTTCTGGTTTCGGGGTTATTTGTCTGTCTGTTCGGGGTTGGCGGCTACACTAGGTCTGCCCCGAGTCTGAAATTTGGGGTATAGGGGTAGCTCGGACCGGGGAGTCTGCTAGTAGTATTATAATTTGCAGATCTCTAGAAATAAAAACTTACAGAGGTCATCGGTATAATCAATAAAACAAACGTTTCAGGAATGTTCAATCAGAGAAAAAAAAATACCTGTCATTTTCAAATAAACCGAGGTAAATTTCCAACTGCCGTTCACCCAACCTCGACATGTGTACATTCCCTGATCAGATGGTCGAAAGTCTTGTAAGTATAGTTTCAATTGTCTTCTGCTTTCTTGAAATACAGACATCACCCTGAAATTTAAAACAAATCAGGCTAGCAGTAGCGGCCCCTCGGCGTAATGGCATAAAGAGTGAGGACTGTCCATAAAAACGTGTTAGTTAACAAATAATGATCAATATAATTATATAATTAGTTAGTTGATTCTTGTCGAAATGTATGTTCAAGAAGAGTCCTTAAAGGAGCGATGAATAAAATTTAGTTATTTGTGACTTATGAACGATGACCAACCTTTCCGGATAACGGTCTACTTCTCGTCCACTAGGTTGTGACCATCTTAAAGATGGTGTGAAACCTGTTCCTTGACAAGTACCATCACAGATTAAAGCTACTACACCACCTTGTGCTACTTCATATGTCTGCTGAACATCATTTAAATCCCAATCTCTTATCCTTAGTGTATTACAGCCAAAGGATAATCCTGTTGAATATAAAATTAAACTATAAATCGTTAACCGAAATCAAACTTGAACATCCCGGATTTCCTGGGCAAGATCGAAAAACTTTCTAATAAAACGTCGTTGAGATCGCGAACCTACAGTGGCTGATTTAGGACATGCAGAAAAAAAAGTATCTCAAGCGCTCGAGATAATACAATCGAACACGTCTCAACCGATGTTATAAGCTGTATAATTTTATGCATTATTTAATGATAAACTTATTTGTTCGTTTTTACAGCCCATCCAAAGCTGCAGTGACAGAGCGGATACCCCCCCCCCCACACACACACACATCCCATGCTCAACACCACCACTAAATATTTCCCATTATATTTACCCCCTTCCAAGTTAACGAGTGAGTAATCTGGGATGTGGGAAGGGTTGTCGCGCTTCATGCTATAGCTTGTCAGCTACCTCGGGATTGTAGTTCTGGGTTCGGTCCCTGGTGTGAGCTTAATGTGACTTGTCTTAGGAATCAAAATGCCAGATAAAATTAGGACCTCGAGCAAAATATCTTTGGCAGATTAGTTGCCCTCTTCTACGAAAATTTACACCTTGTTGATCCAAAATGCGTATCTGACATCCTATCTGCTAAAGGAAAATCCACCCAAAATACATTTAAAGTAGGTTAGTCTCTAACTCAATATCATCCAAAATCTTCAACATTGAAAACACAAATTATTTGTCAATTTAAATCAACATTGATGCTGTGATCTTACCGGAAAAAGATAGGCTTCTGATATCCAATATTTAAGACAAAATAAACATTTTACCATTGGTACACGAATCGTGTACCATAATGCGTTTCAGCCCCAGTTCTAGCAAGAGACTCGAGGAACGAGGCTAGACATATTGCACCAAACCAAACGGCGTATGTAGACTGGAATAACCAGGCGCTAGAAATTTGCATTCGATTGAGACTGCTGGCTTATTTCGCGGAACATAACTGATTTGAAATTAGAGTAAAAACGGAAACCATTGAATGTATATCAGTTTATATACATTCATATTACAGTATTATACAAGTTGCGACCCACTTGTGTCAATTTCTAGGTCCCAAATGTTAGCGATTTAGCTCCTTTAAGGTGCATCATTCCATAACCAATTAAGTCGGTTACAAGACTTAGTATCTCAAGCGCTCGATATATATATTTTTTGCATGTCCTAAATTAGCCACCGTATGAACCTAGTCTACAGATAGAACAGTTTTGTAATATCACTTCCTTCAGATGATGGACCCTTCCTATATACTGAACAACCAGGTCTCATAACTACGGGCGCACAAACATATTGGACGGGCGCACCTGCTCATAACATGCCCTTTACACAGAATACATGTACGTATGACGAGATTGGCTTACAGATACAAATCCTTTTTGGTAAGATAGTTTAAATGAATATTTAAAATAGAAATGAAATGAAATGAAATGGAGTTTAACGTCCTACTGTCTGCTTCGAAGACGGGAGTAAAAATAGAATAAAAATCATTAATCAGAATTCTTCCAAGTCGAACTTCTGTCATTTTTCCAAGGTCAATATATCTTGTGGTGAAGAACGCCCACAAACCTTGTCATACTCCTCTGATAATACCCCCGTCAGACCGGGGTGGCGTCCTAATTGCGTCCCTAAGGCGAAGGAAAATGGTCTCGGAGCGCATCAAGATCGCCATAAGCCTGTTAAAAGCATGGTGGAAACGCCAGATATCGTCCTTATGTCGTTGTCATGGCGATGTTACGATGATTTCACCAGTTGCGCGATTGTACTATGTCCTCATGGGGATCCCAGTGCGCCAATGGCGATCTTATGGGGTTCCCTTTGCGTTTATGGAGTTCTTAATACGTCCATGGCGCGGTTACCAAGCTGCTTACATCACGCTCCTATGGCGACCATGCTATAAAAACAGGCGATTCAAAGTTCATACATCAGTGTATGTCGTCATCTTGAAATTTCCAAAAATCTGACTAGCTTATAATAGTCGCCGTGATCACGTGGTAGAAACGCAGGTGCAGTCGCGATACACGTAGAAGACGTGTGATCGCCGTTATCAAGTCAATAGATCTCAATAGAAACGCTATAAGCGCGGAGAGGTCGAGATAGCGCCAACGCGACTTTTTTCAAGTTTGTAATTTTTTGGGACATTTTCTCGAGTTTTGTTCACGTTTGCCGGCGACCTTGTGCATTTTCTGGTCGCCGTACGGTCGCAGCAACGTAGTAAGGACGCCATCCCGATCTGACGGGAGCATAACATGGTTTTTGTATTATGATTCTTTATAACACGATCTTTGTTATCCCTACATACATGGTACAGGATCTCGAATGTGAAACATAACCAATCTATGATAACCAATCCACATAGATCAGACAGTCGTTTTAGATACCGCGTCTTAATTATAAGTTTTAATTTGACTTTCTAACCAAAGACTTTAATGGTTTGAAATCCGCTTCAGAGAAAAATAAAACGAAGTAGTACTAAGTCTTGCAAAACAATACCAACTTCTAGACGACATTTTATCTGAAATAATCGGGACGTGTTTCTTGGCATACATTAAACTCTATACTCTCGCCGTACACAACGTACCCGCATATTTCTTTTTTTTTTTTTGAATTGAAATAATGTTTTTTCTTACTGTATAATATATTTAGTAATAATAAAATCTAAGTGATAATGACAATTACCTGTTAATCCCAGTAAAGAAAGGAAGACGTACACCATGTCCATTGTCGTGTTTTATACCGTTGTTTATACGTATATTTGTTTAATAATATATATTATACCTATATGTTGTAACTGGTAGAAGATGTATGGATATCTTATTAGTGTAACATGAGTAACAGTAACAGCTGCTTTAGGCATGTTTACATCATTATTTCCACCTAAATAATAGATTTTATGTAAGATTGGCAGTAAGTGGCATTCTTTTCTTGAACTGAATGGTATGTAAGTATTATGTAAGTTGTCTTCAGCACATCTGATTGTTTTTAGTATAGGTTACTCTTGGCTCTAATATTGTGTTTTGTACGGCACTCAGTTCTTTGAAATTCATTTTAACTGATACTGAACTGGAACTTGTTTGGCCATTTGAAGAACCGAAGAGAATGGTGGTTCCCCTGCCAAAGTTGTCTTGTGATGGTAATAAAAGAAAAAAAATCGTTATTATATAATTTAAAACATCATTTGCGCTTTGACAAGATTCTATAACACAATCAAGGGCAATAACTACAGAAGTAATTATCAGAAATTACTGTAATTTCAAAGGCAACAAATGAAACACAGAACATAAATTTCAAGTGCACGAGTTTTGCTAATAGTCGGGACTCCCGTCAAATGCCAAATTATCACTGAACCCACTTTTGCCTGATATATAATGTTTCTCGGTGGATTATTGTTGGGTACGGTCCCCTTGATTTTCCCAGGGTGGGTGTGGTCGTGTCACCCCTGGGGAAAATAAAATATTCAAGATGGCGGCCAAATATGATGAGAAAAATACAAAAATAAAATCATTTTTCACCATCCTAGGTCGTGTAACATCGTTTTATATGTTTTCGGGGTCGCTGAACACGAAATCGGGCATATTTTTAACATCCGGCCTATTCCGAGCAATATAATTAAAATGACGGCCAAAAATGGCGGCGGAAGTACAAGAGTTCCATAATTCGCCCTACTAATGCGAATTCGGACATGTTTTTTTACATAAGACCCATCATGAAGGCGGAAAATAGAATAAAAAGTTCACACAGCTGGATTTATGATAAATCATTCCAGAAATTTCAATTTTGAAGATTTCAAGATGGCGTCCAAGATGACCACCATTTCACACAATTCCCTATAACTACCATAGTATTTCTCTAGAATGCTAATTTTGGTGTCTAGACTAAATGGAAGTTCTAGGGGATTATGTGAAATGGTGGTCATCTTGGACGCCATCTTGAATTCTTCAAAACGCTCAAGGGTGACCGAGGTTCACCCGCCAGATTCTAAAAGAGGACACATGGCTACTACAATCAATCATAAAAAAACCTTTGTATACATAATTTCCAGGTTCACTAGAAATATTGGATTAGTTTAAATGAGTTGGAAACGCGCTCTGTAGAACTGGTATAGAAAACAATATTTCGACTCAGAGTAAAGTAATTTGGCTGAAATTTTTAGTTTATTCTGTTTTCATTATCTATTTTTTTAACTATCATGGAGAGCACTGTCAGCTCTTTATCTAATCTTACCAAATTAAGTATTAAATAGTCAATCTGAATACATATATATTAGCGTGGATTAAGCCGTGAGAAATTTATATTTTCTAAAAAATGCATATTAAGCCATTGTTACACTAATATACAGTATCTTAGAAACCCTGAACTGTGGCCTACTAGGGGCGGTCGGTGGTTACACAAATTCCTATATTTATAACTCATTCAAGCACATAATGGGAAATTTTGAAAATATTACAGGATACCTACAAAATCCTAATCCGACAATATGGGAGAATCCGTAGGGCACCATAATCTGTTCATGGCGTATGGCCTCGAAAGATCTTAAGATAATATTTATAATATTATAACATCGCTCGTATATTACTTCCCATAATGCTGACCGATTTAATATACATCCGTCAACTAAGAATATTTATATGCTGTAGTGTAATATCTGAATACATATGAATTAAGAATAAACAATTACTGATTACCAATAATCCGAATATAGTGAATAGCCTATACTATGTAAAAAATATTAACTTCAACTTCCATTTAAAATAAATGGATTTGAATGGGAGGAATTATCAATGAAAAAAAAACGCAACCCAGTGGCTGTAAAAAGTCAGATTTATCATGTTTTAATTTTTGTTCCTGTTCCAATTCATACAAATGCTTCAATTCCGTCTCAGTTGAGATTGGAACAGAGGACAGTGGTGATGAAGACGAAGAAGATGATGAAGATGACACAATATGATATATTAATATTGCTTTAATCATATGATTTACATATCGTATCTTTTTGTTCCTTATAGCCTGACCTAAAATTGAAATTTCTGGAATGATTTATCATAAATCTAGCTGTGTGAAGTTTTTTTGTTTTCTATTTTCCACCTTCGTGATGGGTCTTTTGTTAATACGATGTCCGAATTCGCGTTAAGCGACCCCCAAAACAAATAAAACGATATATTACAAGACCAAGTAGGGCGAAATATGAAATTCTTGTACTTCCGCCACCATTTTTGGCCGCCATTTTGAATATCTTTGTCCGAATAGGTCGGATGTTAAAAATATGCCCGATTTCATGTTCAGCGACCCCGAAAACATATAAAACGATATATTACACGACCTAGGATGGTGAAAAATGATTTTTTTTGTATTATTCTCACCATTTTTGGCCGCCATCTTGAATATTTCATTTTCCCCAAGGTTGACACGACCACACCAACCCTGGAAAAATGAAGGGGAGCCTACCCAAAAATAATCCAACGAAAAACATTATATATCAAACAAAAGTGGGTTCTCGGCCCTGGCGTCCGGACTATAACAGGGCATTCAAAAGCTTCTGCAGTGGGAGCAAGGACAATAACTTTATACATAGGCTTCATTACGTTGAAATTCTAGAGGTCTCACTAATACTGAACAAAGCATGAAAATTTCAAGCAAATCTAGAAAACGTTGTCAACAATTATTTTTATCTATGTCACCGAATGTGTCAACAAATTTTTGCTTATAGACTGCTATGGAAGTTAGAAAGGGGCGTCGAAAACACTATTCCTGAAGCAATAGATAGCCTGACAGTTCCCGGTCAAGGAGAATAGATAAGAGAAATACAATTCAATTTTTGTGGAGTTCTTCACCACAATATACCTGCGTCAGAAACAAAACATTCATCAAGATTAAAATTGAAAATCTTGTGGAATGTTGAGCCCAAAAATGTCTGGGCTTATAGACTATAGAATGTCAAAACATTTGGATCGTTAGGAAGCTTGCAAGATGGCGCGCCGAAGTCGCAAAATATGAATTGTCAATGGGAAATTGAATTTGATTAATTTCTACAGCAAAATGCGCAGAAAATCGATATTTTCTGATTATACTAGAGAATGACAAATAAATGCCCGCGTACAAGGTTTGAGTTTGAGAAATAGAATTTGAGCAATTTAGAGCACATTCCTAGACCGCTAAAGGATGCTTTTACTAATAGCTCGAGATAGAATTGTAAACAATTTAGAATAGAAACAATTGGAATATAAATCAATGGTGTCTTAATTTTCCCATTCAAGATATACCTGTCCTGACCCTTTTAGACTATGTAATTCGAACAAATCAGAAAAAAGTATCACCCAACCAGCAGGTCCAACAAATTTTGTTGAAACGAAACAGTTTAGGAGAATGCCAGAATACATGAAGTTGACCATTCAAGGGGACCCTGTCCCACCCCTATGCATACAAGCAACTACAATCGGTAAATCACTGGTGCCCTTTATACCTGCTCCATTCTTTTCATCTTATCTGTATTACCTAAGGATGTATCCTACCCCTTTGAAATCCATTCAGAATTCTTCAGATGACCTAACTTTGTCCCATAAAGGCGTTCTGCCTGGTCACCATGGTTTAGCATGTATTGCATTTGAATTGACTAAGAAGTTTGAATGTGCAGAAATGGCACTAATATTTTATGGTAAATGGACATCGACTAACCACAAATACAAGCTGTAAATATATTCTAGTGGGTAGTTTTCTTCAGACTGAAATGTTTTGAAAGGGATATAAGGTAAATTTTTGATAGATCAATTAGTTTGAATGTGTTGTTAGTCCAAATATATCATTAAATCACACAGTTCCTGTGCAGGAAGGCATATTTAAAATCTATTCAATCGAAATAAAGATTTTAAAGAGTTGGCATGATCCAATAGAATTGCCCACTCCCCTACTTCCTGCAAGTGTTTTAACAACAACAAATGTAAATGATGAGTTAACAGTTTACTTATGATGAAAACAATGTACAGGTAATGAACTCTTAATGTTGACTTACAAACAGAATCAAATTCTTTTCTCCTTACAATTTTATCTGTCCATGCTTCTAATTGTCGATAATTTGTGTTCTCTAATGTCAAAAACAAGATAATGATATCGTCACCAACAATTAAATTTACATCATTTAAATTTCTGTATAAATATTATAATGAAAATATTTTAATTGTAGGTCATGTATCGAGGTGTAGAACTAAATTTGGCATAGGCTTTAATAACTTTGTTAACAGCTTCCAGGAAATCTTTTTCAGTGGCCATTTTTCGTCTGGCTCTAATAGCAAACATACCAGCTTCTGTACAAACACTTCTGATCTCGGCTCCTGAAAAAAAAAATAAATCAAGCAATTAATAAATCAACAAACTATGTACATCGTATTGATAAAACCATGGACCGTGTATATACACTTTTATTTTTCTAATTCAAACTGGCATGAGTTTTTTTTAATGAACACCGGACATGTTTTTGGTACTATCTGAACTATCTGTCCTGCATCACTGACGAGATAGATTTTCTATTAAACTGAAATGGATAATCGAGACTATGTTTTTTTATTGTACGGAATGATGATCAAGGCCAGGTCGAAAACTCAATCACTAAAATTTCTGTTCAGAGTGGATCAATTTGGCTGAAATTTTCAGCAAATTCCCTTTACATTATCTAGTTTTTATTAAAATGTTTGACTATTATAGTGAGAAGTGTCAGCTCTTTAACTAATCTCCCATAATGTATCTTTAATAATCATAAAAGAGAATCATAGATCTGTGGCTATCTAATAATAGTCTATATTATAATTATATGTATTAAAATTCCTAGCAATTAAAATATTTACATTAAGGGTGGGATTGTATTTATTGATATCAAGGTCAAGTATATTAATGTTATATACGTTGAATTATACAAAGAGCAACTATTGAAAGGTTTATAAAATTCTAAATAGAACTAGAACTGCGAGGTAGTAATGACGGGTTTCACCGGTGCCCCCTTACCCTTGAACATATTTCACTTCCGGTACTGATGAAACCATTAAACAGGTTTCCATATAAGCATTGCACACATCAAATAAGATGTACACAGAATCAACCAAATCCAGCAATATCAATTCATTGTATACATTTGTTACATGTAAGTGATACTGACAAAATTACATTACTTCCGTTGATAAAGAAAATGTTAAATTAGTTTACTGAAATCAGAAATGGCATAAGGCATCGCATGGAGAAAATTTTATGTAAATCGAACAATAATTGCCACTTTTATAGACCAACAACCTTGAAAAGGGACTTGTAGAAAATCGTCTATTTCTCTGCAACCGTACAAGTTAGAAACCATTTTTTGGTATCTGTATGATCGTATGGGTTCAATCTATTTGTTGATTGGAATCAAATATCATAATTTTAAAAACATTACAAATTAGACTCATTTGAATAAAATATCTGTTTTGAAGGCTAAAATACAGTTTTTGCCACAATGACGTTATTTCCGGTAACAGTAAAAGTGTTAAATTACTTGTATGAAATCGTAAAAGGCATTAGGTATCACACGGTGAAAATTTTATGAAAATCGAATAATAATTGACACTTTTATGGACCAAAAACCTTGAAAAGTTACCTGTTGAAAATCGTCTATTTCTCCGCAACTGAACGAGTTAGAAACCATTTGGTGATACCTATATGATCGTTCTATTGGTTGATTGGGACCAAATATCAAAATTTTAAACAAATAACAAATACGACTCATTTGAATAAAATACTGGTTTTGAAGGCTATAAATAAAATTTTTGCCCAAATTACGTCATTTCCGGTGACATTGGAAATGTTAAATTGGTTTGACCTTGTTAAAATTGACATTACGCATCAAATGGTGTCACTTTTATGAAAATCGAATAATAATTGACTCTTTTACAGGCAAACTAGCGTAAAGGGTGACTCATGCAAAATTGCCCATTTCTCGGCAACTGCTCATATTACAAACTAATTTTCACATACATTCTCTTCGTATGGATTATTGCTACTAGTTTATGAAAGTTTCGAAAAAATATATTAAAATATGAAAAGCCTGAATGGGTTTTCAATAGCTCATTTTTTCACCTTTTTTCACCTTTAAATCGAAATGATCTGAAAACGAAATAAAAATTAAAAAAACTGAGCGCGATGATTTTTGCGCCTTAACAGGGCACACCCTTTCAGTCATACCAGATTTGAAAAAAATAATATTTGCTTTCAAAAAGTGGTACAGAACTGTCAAATTTGCAGTTTTTGCTAAATTTACGTCACTTCTGTTATTGAAAGGAAAATGTACTGGTACCAAAAAAAATGACATTTTGGACCACGGAGCATATGAACTTTGTTTTATTCAAATCGAACAATAAATAATTAATCCAGGACTGAAAAACTGAATTAGCCAATGGGGGCCAAGGAAAAATACGGTGGCAAAAAATGATGCCATTTTTGGTCAAATCAGATGACTCTTTAACCCTAAGTAAAATACCACATAAAAATATTCATTAATAAAAAAGTTTTTTGTAAAAATTTAAATTTTCAAAATTTGGCGCCTATAATCTCCTAAGATTCGTCGAAAATAAAAAATCCAAAGAACCTTAGCTATGTGCCTTGTCTCTGGCTATGTCAAAATGTATCAAATATTACAATCCGACAATTATTGATAACATTACGGCAAAATATCGAAAAACGACAACTTCGGTGATTTCGGACATTTCGCATTGTCGCAGAACGTTGGAAATAGCTTTAAAATTTAAGTCAAACCCACTTTCCCAGTAAAACCGAAGACATCAAATAATAATCCGAACAAAAACAATAGTGTGAAACCCTAATTAGGGATGTCTATTAAATGACAAGGTTACTTCCTTGTATGGCTATTCTATATATGTATATAATTTCTTATTGTACATGAATATTAAATGTAAGTGGTTTCCTGACAAACAGTCTTATTACATATTATGTATACTACTAGTGTAATAATATCATAGACTGTAGATCCTGTTTGCTTATTACAAGGGCAAATAGAGAAAAATTAAACTGAATGTGTTAAATTGGTTTCTTCTTTGATTGGCATTTAGTAATTGAACATATTAACACAAGGTACAATTTTATGGATACACAGTTACTGAGTTTAATACTAAGCAAAGTTTCGAGAAGGATACTCTCGTCTTTATCAAGCAAATGGTTCAAATATGTGAACAGTAGAGGGGGGAAATCCTATTATTTACGAAGATCAATGTATTAACACTATTAATAGGAAACCAATTAAACCTCAGCCTTAGACAAACAATATATTTACGTTATCCCTTGCATCAGCGATCACTCTTTATTATTATTACAACATATTTATAGTGCGCCCTTTCATATAACATGTTCAGGGGCACTTTACGAAGTCAGTTAAAAGCCTGATTAAATAAATGTGTTTTAAGTTGTTTTTTAAAAGAATATAGAGATGTACAACATCTTAAACTAAATGGTACATTATTCCATAAAACAGGTGCTTGATAACTAAAAGAGCGCTGATCATAAGAGACTAGTTGAACAGTTTTGGGCTTTAAACGTAGTTTATCTGATGTATGTAATGTTCGGCTAGGTGTATAAAGTTCTAAAAGATCTGAGAGGAGAGAGAGAGAAATAGGGTTTAATGTCCACTCGACACAAACTAGGTCATTTCGGGACTAACATATGGTTTAATTTTATTTCAATAATTCGCTTTAGCAGTGGGAGGAAACTGGAGGACCCGGAGAAAACCCACGAGGTTGGACAGGCGACCCTAATCCTTGTCACATACAACCAGGAATTCGAAACCACGCCAGTCGACTCAATGACAGATTTTATGAAACAGCGCGCGCACGCTAACCATTCAGCCATCCAACCCCCCAGATCTGAGAGGTAAACAGGAGCTAAATTATTTAAACATTTAAAAGTAAGTAATAACATCTTAAAATCAAATCGATATTTAACAGGTAACCAGTGTAAATTATATAAAACAGGAATTAAGTGGTCACATTTCTTCGTTAAAGTAACAAGTCAAGCTGCAGTATTATGTACTTTTTGTAATTTATCTATAAGCTTTAAAGGTTAACCAACTAAAAGTGAATTAATTTAGATTTAGAAGTGACCAGAGAATTAACAAGTGACTCACTCATATCCCTGCCCCCACACAGTGGCGGATTAAGCTCCACCAAGGCCTGAGGCGGCAGTTGCTGGAGGGCCTATTTAGTTTTTAAATAGGGCCTATTTAAAATGGCGTGGGCCTGATTAATTTCGGGTCAGGGCCTATGTTGATTTCCGTTGGGCCTAAACCCCACCCCCTAACATTCATTGTCTATGCGTTTTTAATCGTATCAGACAAGTCTAAAAAAATTTTTTTTACAAAATCTTTGGGCCTGAGGCTGCAGCCTCACTGATAATCCGCTACTGCCCTCACCCACCACATTCTCTTGACATTATTGTTTATCTATATAGCTGAGGTTTAATTGGTTTCCTATTAATAGTATTAATACATTGGTCTTCATAAATAATAGGATTTCCCCCCTTTTATTGCCTGTAAGAGTTTCTGCTGTGTTGGTTTAGTTGTGGTTAAGTTTTAATTGTATTTGATTCTTATTTAAGTTGCATATTCTGTGTATATTTGTCTAAATTCTGTATCATTTGCTTGATAAAGACGAGAGTATCCTCGTCAAAATGTCGCTTAGTATTAAACACAGTAATTGTGTATCCATAAAATTGTACCGTGTGTTAATTTGGTTTGTTAGATACAAATCTTTCTACAAGTAAAATTCTACATCTGTAATCAAAATTGCGAGGCACATTCACTTTAGTAATCCTCACTGATCAGTAAAACCATAAATTTGACAGACAAACATACGGCCAACAGCAGCTTTATGAATTAGATCAGGAAAGTGTACAATGACTTGGGGAAAGCTCAATTGTCAGCCTGGAACATCCTGAATGGACAGAATTGCAATCGAGTAACGTGGAATTCAGTGATGTCACTCTTGAGGTGGTGTGAATAGAATCGTGACATAATTAAAAACAAAGAATATATTTCAGCAGTCATGGTTAACTGTGAATTTTTTATGTAGCCGACACTTGCGCTGTAGCCTGAAATCCGAGTTTTCACTTGATTGTCACTATTTTTGGAATTGAGAGAATTCAATCCTGGAGTATCCCCTAGATGACACGGTCAATAAATTTGCCTAATAATAGTGCACTACTCTTTTGTGTAGAGCTTTCATAAGGTTTTGGCGACAGTGGCAATAATATATGGTAAAATCGATGCATAACTGTGAATTTTGATAGGGTTCCTCCTTATGACTAAAAGAACAAGCACAACAAATTCTGGAAGTCAACATTGATGTTGTGATCTTACCGGAAAAAGATGGGCTTTTGATATCCAATATTTAAGACAAAATAAACATTTTACCATTGGTACACGAATCGTGTACCATAATGTGCTTCAGCCCCAGTTGTATCAAGAGACTCAAGGGACGAGGCTAGACACATTGCACCAAATCAAACAGCGTATGTAGACTGGAATAACCAGATGCTAGAAATTTGAACTCGCTTGAGACTGCTGGCTTATTTCGCCGAACATAACTGATTTGAAATTGGAGTAAAAACGGAAACCATTGAATGTAAATCAGTTTATATTCATTCATATTACAGTATTATATGCGTTGCGACCCACTTTTGTAAATTTCTAGGTCCCAAATGTTAGCGATTTAGCTCCTTTAATGTTATTAAGTATTGGAAAAGTGGTTAACCCAGATGTTGAAAAAGCTTTAAAAAAAAGGGCTTCTGCAATATCAATTGTCATATGTATATTGTATGTACCGGTACTTATGTAAAAAAAATACTGAAAAAATCTAATAGATATTTGTTCTTTATTTTGGAAGAGAAAATATATGGCTAATAATTTAAATTAAAAAATTGGCGAAAAAAAATGAAACCCAGAGTGAGCACTGGTTCAGACGGTGGGGATAAATTACATCTACATTAAGTGGGCATATAAAAAATCCAAAATTATTTTCGAGGAGTCTGCTTGTATTGTACTTTGAATATGTGCTATGTGAAAATAATTAAATATAGGCATGTAAAAAAAATATGAAGATCATCAATTATCAATATATTATTATCCAAGATGAATTGGAGAAAAATATCTCAAATTTATCAACCATATGACTGGGACTAAACTACATTTTATTTTTCCTCATATTAAAGCGACATTAGGTAAGATAAGAGCTGTTAGTTCTCACTATAATAGTTACAAAAATAGATAATGAAAAGAGAATATACTGAAAATTTCAGCCAAATTACTTCACTCTGAGCCTAGATATTAGCGATAAAATTATTATAGGCTAGCCTTGATCACCATTACTACCATTGTTACGCTAATAAACATAGTCTTGATTATCCACTTTTATGGTAAATGCATCTACCAGAAAATGTATTTGAATCCACTAAATATTGCAGGCATCGATGGCATCCAGAGTAGATTATGGTCTTGGTAAGTTAACTAATGTCTAACTAATCATTTAGATAATATTTAAGTTGAGGCCTTAAGTTGAAAGACGTACAATCGGCAGATTTAACTCTAGGATAATGCCTGTTTAACTTTAATTTTGATCTATAAATTAAAACAGTGAATTACCTGTACTATTAGGACATAATCTGGCCATCAGTTCATAACGAATATCTTTTTCTACACTCATAGATCGAGCATGGATCTTGAAGATGTGAGATCTTCCCTGAAGACAAAGACCATATTCATATAATCACTAAAGAAAAATAATAAATGATTTCAACAACATGTTATCTTTATTTTAAAGTAGCTAAGTCTCTAACTCAATATCATCCAAAATCTTCAACATTGAAAACACGATTTATTTCTCAAATTAAATCAACATTCATGTTGTGATCTTAACGGAAAAAGATGGGCTTTTGATATCCAATATTTAAGACAAAATAAATATTTTACCATAGGTACACGAATCGTGTACCCTAATGCGCTTCAGCCCCAGTTGTATCGAGAGACTCGAGGGACGAGGCTAGACACATTGCACCAAATCAAACGGCGTATGTAGACAGGAATAACCAGACGCTAGAAATTTGCACTCGCTTGAGACTGCTGGCTTATTTAACTGATTTGAAATTGGAGTAAAAACGGAAACCATTGAATGTAAATCAGTTTATATACATTCATACTACAGTATAATATGCGTTGCAATCCACTTTTGTCAAGTTCTAGGTCCCAAATGTTAGCGATTTAGCTCCTTTAAATATCAAATTTTATATTAATTAATAATTTTTGTTGTAATAATAATCATCTCAAAACCTTTATCACAGTAAATAGACACACATATTTTAAAACAAATTGGACTTATCTCCCTTTGAGCACATTTTGATAAGCTAGAAAGAGAAATGGGGTTTAACGTCCACTCGACACAAAATAGGTCTCTTCGGGAATAACACATGGTTCAATTTTATTTTAATCATTCGCTTGCCCGTAGGGGTCTTTAGCAGTGGGAGGAAACCGGTGGACCTGGAGAAAACCCAAGTGGTTGGACAGGCGACCCTACTCCTTGTCACGTACAACCAGGAAATCGAAACCCCGCCAATTGACTCAATGACAGACCGTATGATACAGCATGTGCGTGTTAACCATTTGGCCAACCTACCCCGCCATTTTGATAGGCACAAATTTTGAATTATGAAACATTATGGTTAAAACACTCAGTAAATGAATAATACCTCTTTATGATTATGGCTACATCTATGACAAATGGGAGAGAATTGTTTGTAGGACCTAAAATGCACTGATAATTTGTACATTTGTATACATCTACAACTCATTCAGTACGACATTCAGATATTTTGAACATATTACTAACCTCTAAATCTGGTAAACCAAATTCTATTTTTCTATCGAGACGACCAGGTCTCATAAGTGCTGGATCTAGAGTATCTGGTCTGTTTGTTGCCATGAGTACCTTGATATTACCACGGGGATCAAAACCATCTAATTGATTAATAAGTTCTAACATGGTTCTCTGTACCTCATTGTCACCACCGGCTCCATCATCAAACCTCGCACCTACAATAACACATTAGAGAACAGGATGAAGAATTTGTTATAGAAGTAACAACCAGCGGCTGCCAGGCAGGATACGCCCACATTTTCGAGAGATGGATAGAAAACAAGCTAAAACGAAAGTGATTTTTCCTACAATCAAGGGCCATAATTCAGGAAATTACAATTCGATATGCGCAAATATCAAAAGGAACCAAGATCTTTCAGTTATAAACTTACATTTCAAGTTTCAACAAAATCGGATAAAAATTGTGACCTCTATAGGGTCCAAAACCTTGATATACCATATTTTTACGCAATTTGAGAACGAACGGCGGCCATTTTGTCTGTCAGTTTTGGGCCGATTTTCACGAAATTCGAACTCAACCGTCCTTAGGGTTTAACGGTGATATAATAATACGTTTTTTTAAATCGGATAAAAATTATGACCTCTATGGGGTCCACAAGCCAAAAAACGCGTTTTTACGTACAATCAGGGGCCATAATTCAGGAAGTTACGGTCCGATATGCGCAAATATCGAAAGGAACCAAGATCTTTGGGTTATAAACTTACATTTCAAGTTTCAACAAAATCGGATAAAAATTGTGACCTCTACAGTGTTCACAAGCCAAAAACGTGCTTTTTCGTACAATCAGGGGCCATAATCCATGAAGTTACACTCCGATAGATGCCAATATCGAAAGGAACCAAGATCTTAGGGTGATAAACCTATATTTCAAGTTTCATTGAAATCGGATAAAAATTGTGACCTGTAGACTGTTCACAAACAATTGTGGACGGACGGACGGACAGGGGCGACGACAATATACGTCCACATGAAAATGTGGGCGTATAAAAATGATTGCTATTTGGTCCAGATAAAAAGGGACCTAACTGCAATAAACATTTCTAGTTGAAATTTGAACAATTGTCATGTACGCAACCATAATAAATGTTACTGATAAATGGCACTGGACAATTGGAAACTATTATTAATAAATGCCAGTGGACAAACGGAAACTAACTATCCGGAAATTTTAAAAAGCTTCCGTGGATGCGAACTAGTAATCGGAAAGAAATAAATAAAATTATATACGATGGGGATGGGAGATAGAAGCAGTAGTATTCACATTAGAACTAAAAAACCTATGTTCCTGGTTGTAGCCCATTTACAGGGTCAAGAATTCTTTCCTACTTGTAACTGAACTTTAGCTTATTTAGCTTATTATAGTAACAGAGGCAATCTTTTGTCACGGTAAAATAGAATTAATAAATATGTCAACTAATTCAAAACAGATTCCTGTCAACAGATTATGAAATAAATTTAGAACCTTAAATTGTGATGTTTGTAAAAAGTCATAAACAAAATTATTTCCATCTCTACCATTGCTACTTTTGGTAAATTTAAGTTTGCAAGAGTTAAGTTCGTACTTACCGCCAATAGCATCAATTTCATCAAAAAATATGATACAGGCTTTCTTGGCTCTTGCCATTTCAAACAATTCTCTGACCATTCTAGCACCCTGTAACACACCAAGTATAAACGAGTGTTGAATTATATTTGAATCAATAAAGTTCTTGCCTGGTATAGTGTTTCCTCTTTATACACTTGTTTTATTCATTATTATTGTCATGTCTAAAACATGGATTCTACTTATTGCTTAATCCAAAGGGTGCCATGAGAATAGCGTTAGTTCATGAAACAGGAGGGCCCTGATTACAATTCCTGTGTTAGTCCCAAGTTTTGCAGATTTCCTGGCCTGGTTTCAACTTTTTAGTGGATAGAGGGCCTGGCAATGAAAAATCATCTTGTTATTTGAATGGAATGTTAACCAGCCTAACACACTGCTTCAATAGCCTGGCTGGTGCAGAAAAGTAAATATTAAACCCAATTCATTTCAGATTAATTTAATTTGTTTACCTGCTACTGAATAAATTGAATTGTGGATAATTCATATTGTGATCACTTAATAATAAAGCATAGAAATAACCAATAGATACAAATTAACGGATCCAGTAAGATTCCTGGAGATCTAAAAGATTTCTTTAACTAGATTACTATGAGATTACTAGATTGTATTTTTAGCAGTGGGGGTCAAACTGGGTCATATATATATTTACCTCTCCCACATATTTCTGTACTAATTCTGATCCTATAACACGAATAAAACAGGCATCTGTTCTATTAGCTACAGCTCTAGCACATAATGTCTTTCCTGTACCAGGGGGTCCAAATAATAAAACACCTTTAGGTGGTTCAATACCTAAATTCACAAACTTCTCCGGCTGAAATACATACATAAAATCATTAACGGGATATATTACTGAGGAAATTTATTTATTATGGGTTTATTTATTATAATGTTTTCTTCTTAATCTGTTTACAACTATAAATTACTGTGCAAAGAGTTTAATTAAAAATAAAAATCGTGCATCAAAATAAATAAGTATGATAATCTAAACAGGCACTGTAGATAATAATCTTACATGTAATAAAGGTACTTCTACAACTTCTCGTAATTTATCTATCTGTTCTTTACAACCACCAACATCACTGTATGTTACATCCGGTTTTTCTTCTACCTTTATACAATAAAATACATATTTAACTGTTAGAAGGATTAATCAAACTAAAACCCTGATATTCATAAGTGTTACAGGGGAGCCAAGGTGGCTCAGAGAGAGAGAGAGAGAAATGGGGTTTAACGTCCACTCAACACAAACTAGGTCATTTCTGGACTAACATATGGTTTAATTTTATTTACATAATTCGCTTGCGTGAGGGGTCTTTAGCAGTGGGAGGAAACCGGAGGACCCGGAGAAAACCCACGAGGTTGGACAGGCGATCCTACTCCTTGCCACGTACAACCGGGGATTCGAAACCACGCCAGTCGACTCAATGACAGACTTTATGATACAGCGCGCGCACGCTAACCATCCAACCCCCCAAGATGGCTCAGTGAGTAAGATGCTGGATTGTTGACCTGGAGGTCGCGGGTTTCCCGTTGTCAGTGGTGCAGGACGGAGGGCTTGTCAAGGATAGCCGTTTATTTGATTGGATGGGGAGGTGGGGGGGGGGGAAACTTGAGGGAAAATCAGGCTGTAAAAGTCCTGTGGAACTATCTTGGCCAACAAACCCAAGATCTCTTGATTAGTGAGGCAGCCAGTTGATCCAAACTACTGTAGATAATTTAAAGGAGCAGTTCCAGATTTCACAAATTATCCTTGATAAATGTCTGTTTACGTATTCAAAGCAAACACCAAAATGTGAAGAAATATCCAATTTACCTTGTAGGCCTATGAGGTATAATTACAACAATCACATAGGACTATAACTATGGTCATCCAGAGACTTATTTATACTGATTAAAATTCCTTCAACCTCACATGGCTATATAAAGTTAGTATATCTTTGAAAAATTATCACAATATTCCACAAAATATCTTTCTATTTCACAAAGAATCAACCAGTTTTATTGACTAAAATATATGTTAAATTATTTGATTACCTGCATCATAGTAACAGATGGATCTATTTTAGGTGGTAATGGTATATGAATCTGGTATTTATTTCTATCAACTCTATTAAAATAAAATAAATATCTTAATATATATACATTTCTACCAGTTTTATAGACTGGTATTTCTGAAATCCTAACTAACCAGGTTATTCTTAATATGAAATAACAAAATATATATATTTAATTAAAGGGGAAACAGGCCAAAATAAATGGAGAACAGAGTTTAAAAACATGCACCTTCTACACAGTGAAAATATCTTGAACCCACCAAAATATCGTAATGTAAATTTTACAATAGTTTCTACTAATTCCACACTACCATCTGACCTTGAGAATTTCAAATATATTTGATTTATAACCACATCAACATATTATCTAACCTACATTTCTGCTTTTTTCATTTAATTCTACAATTAAACGTTTTATTGTCATATTGTAGCTTATATATGGCCTACATATATTTTCTTGGAACAAAATGGTAATGCCTTTTCTTAATGATTACAGGGAACTTAGCAGATAGAGCCACAACTGTATCCTAGATATCCTACTTACCCAACTCTCATGCCTTCTTCTATATCAGTAGGAGCTACCTGATCACCCAAATCTACCACAAACTTAGCAAACTGTTTTACATTTATAATATATTTAGGATCATCTGTATCAGCATTGATTATCTTTGTACATCTTGCTACTTGTAATGGCTGTTCATCTAAAATATAAATACATGAATAAAGCAAGTGTTAACAATCATTAAATAAAATGTATGTACAACTATTACGTAATATCAATTGATTTAAAAAAAAATAATTCCAACAAGACTCAGTCAATTGTGATGCCATGGATGGAAAAACAAAAATGATTTAATCTGAGAAATTTATAATTAACAAACAGATTGATGTGTGCACAGAGTTCAATAAATATATTAGAAGTGATCCGGGAAAAAAAACACTGAAGGGCAGATAGAGATCATTTCAATACCCCTCCCTTAATTTCATTTGGGGTAGTGTGATTAAAAAGAAGATTCTTAATCTTAGCAGAACTATACTAAAAACTGAAACTTCAGTTTTATGGAATAACAACTGACAAAAAGTGTAAACTTATCAATCAGTATATAACTTATATGAGTTTGTTAAGTCTCAGGTGTAGCTTTCTAACCAGAATACAATATTCTCCATTACAACTAGTCAAATAATATTTATAAAATACATTGTATGCTATCTTGTCACCATTTGGCTACAATTTAAATGTTCAATCACTTTCCACTATAAAATATTCTGAAGGCTTGCTCTTGAACTTACTTTGTAAAGTTTGTTTATCAGCAGCTAAATCCCATAATGCTGGTGGTGCTAATCCTGTATCCGATTCTTTAATACCTGTTATATATAAATACTAACATTTTTAGTCCAATATATCTATTAAATTACCTTCCCTCTTTTACTCCAAGAAACAGGACCTAACTTCAAATAAAATGTATTTTATTTACTTTTAGTTTTGATTTTAATTTCTGACCAAACTGAAACTCAAAATGTAGAAGTTGTACCACTAGAGAACCACACTCTATTAAAAATTTAACTTACTACAGCAAATGTTCACGCTCAAATAAAGAAGAGTTCCCAAGTGATAAAATGGCAGGCACACAGCACATGCATACATGTATGTAAGTCAGAGTAGTTTCTTTTAACCTATACATAGCCTTGATATAGCCAGGATCTAGTCGTTCAGATGGGATGAAAAACTGATATCCTGTGTAAGCATACAGACTGGTTGGTATGCACTTAAAAGAACCCTTGACAGTTGGAATTCGAAATAAGATTAAGAGTAGGTCCTAGCTGTACAGGAAAAAATCTACCTCATTATATACACTAACTAGGAGATTTCATTTCAGATGTACTACTAGGTAATCTAATCTATGAAATGAATTCTAATTTCAGGTTTTTGCTTCATCAAATATGAAATCCTACCATACCTGATAATTCATTAACCCTTTTAAGAATGCTCTGTATATCTTCTTCACATGATTTGATAGATTTTGTGTACTGTCCCAAACCCTGCAATATAAGATACCGATACATGACATAATAATACTTTAAAAATTATACATAAAATTGAGAGTGTGATTTTTCGACACCGTATTCTGTTGTACAGTAAGCACTTCATGCTGTATTGATAGAATACTGTGGCATGGAAAATGTACATATATCCAAATCAATCAACATATTCATTTTGTCGTAACTTCAGGTTCACGTTCTCTACATTGTATAGGATCTAAATGTATGTATTCAGAGCACCTGCTGACATCAGATATATTATATATGTCACTTCAGTCGGTTTGAATGCGTGAAAGAGAGAGAAATGGGGTTTAACGTCCCCTCGACACAAACTAGGTCATTTCGGGACTAACATATAGTTTAATTTTATTTCAATAATTCGCTTGCGCGCAGGGGTCTTTAGCAGTGGGAGGAAACCGGAGGACCCAGAGAAAACGCACAAGGTTGGACATGCGAACCTACTCCTTGTCACGTACAACCGGGGATTCGAAACCACGCCAGTTGACTCAATGACAGGCCTTATGATACAGCACGCACGTGCTAACCATGCGACCATCCAAGCCCCTGGTTTAAATGCGAAGATCATATATTGATATGATTGGAACAGTAGCATTTTATTCTGTTTGCAGCACACAACACAATCATAAAACTTGTCAGATGTCAAATGTTAAGAAAATTGAGTTCTGTTCAATTAGCCTATAAAATATGGAGTATAAAGAACAGCCTTTGTACACAAAGTAAATTCAGAACAGCCTTTTTTACACACGCTCAAAGACCTTTGCAGGAACATAAATGCTAGATTGCCACCTTAAAACTCTGGTAACCTACCTTCAGTAAAATTGTTAAGCATACATGTAGTGGCTACTGTACACAAACTGTCATGCATGAACAATTGCTATTTTATTTAGGCCAGTTCAAGCTCAAAATAGACCAATTGATTACAAAACTACTATAATTCCAATCCAACTTACATAAGTTTTTAACAGTGCTATATCTCCTTCATCAAGAGCTGAAAATATAATTTAACAATAATCAAGGGTACTTATTGTACAATATTGATATTGTAGTTTTACAAATTTATTTTTATTGATTTATTTTTATATTTAGTTTTTCGGCCTATTCAAACTGATATTTTGTAAGCTTATTCAATGCGGAGATAATTAAAACTGACATATTAATTATAAATTAAATATCAGTTTTATCGATTTCATAAATAAATACAGTAACTAATATTAATAGTAGTAGCGATACATATACTGTTATTCATCTGGTAGATTGTCTAAGGTAAGTCATACTACCAATAATTGTACACGTATCTTATACCCTGGTGTTGAGTACTTTGCGTCTTCGGCGCCCCCAACGCTCGACTTTGCCTCCCGTTCCCCCTACCCACCCCGGCCACCACATCCAAAATCTCTGTATACAATCTTGCATTAATTATAGAGTCAATGTGGGGCTAATTAGACTATCTGCCCTGGTGTGGCGTGGTCACGTCGTTCACGGTGGCACGCTTTTTGAGACGAGTAGTAGTAATAGTGGCTTTCAAGTAAATTCTGGTGAATAATGATAACCAGACCTTATTGTGTGTGGCCATGTATTTCATGTAATCTGTGGAAAGATCTAAATACTTATTCATTAGACAATGTAACATACGTTATCATATATTTGAAATGAATTCCGGTAGTCTTTCAAATAAATACACCTGTGACCTCCTACGACATCTTCATGCCAATCATGGTCTGTGCAGAAATCGAAATAGTTCTTCATTATATTAATATGTATCATTTATTCGTTGGGATATTTAGTTGTGCAATGGATTTTATTGAACGGGAGTTGATTTCAAACACACAGGTAAGTTTATAATAACCAAAGTTAAGTGGCTTGTTCATAATCGAAGAAATCCGTTTAAAATTTACGATATGGTAGGCCTAATGGTTCAGACACTAGACAGTTGTCTACTGTCACTCAAGATTTCCTAAATTCTAAAATACCTTGTATTGGTTTATCTTCTGTCTTCTCATCTTTGACCTTTCTTTGGTCTGCTCCTAAATGGTCAGGCATCTTAAATAAATACTTCGCTAATCCTCACTAAACTTAGTAAGAGAAAATCATAAAGTACCAAATTTCTATTTGCAAGTCATCTACCGGAAGTGTCTTGTTTTGCATAGGAAGTAGACTTTATCAAATTTATAACCATAAATACAATGGGCAGCAGAATGACCGTTAAATCAAGACTATATATTTACAAAATGGAGGCATTTCCTTGACTTTTATGTCAACAGTTTTATTTTTTGGCGAAAATGTTGCTGTATGTCCAAAATAAATCATTTCCAGTATGTTGTTTGCTGACAATTTACATCTTATATTATTTTAGTGATTTATTTTCGAGTGATAATGCTTTCAGTGAGATAAATATAAGTTAGATTAGCACGATTTTCAGTGTTTTAAAGTAATTTATTAGGCAGTGGATATTTAACCGTATACGGCATTTTACAATTACTTTGTATACGGCACTTTACTTTATTTACTATTTTGCCGTACACTTCCACACTTCCGTTTAACATGCGCAGTTCTCTGATACCTGGACTTAGCAGTGTTTGCTTTGGCAATGCCGTCTGACATTAACCCTAACCACAACACAACACAACACAACAGTTCTATTTGTTTTTTGTTTACCATTGCTTCTTTTTCCATTTCTTATAAAGGAACGAAATAGCCATACTTGAATTTCTATGGTAGAAACTGGAGAATTATTTTTAAAAGAAAATAAGATAATAAATGTAAATTGTAGAAAAGCATTTAAATAGCATATTATTCTATTTTGGTCGAGGGCGCATTTCTGCGGATTTTGGTTTTTAATTAAGTACTAAGACTGTCAGTGGTTTATGTTTTTCCCGTAAAATCGTGCTTCTGCGCCGAACTTGAAAGACGAGTTACCAAAATGGCGGAATATATCTGTAGTTTCCGCCATTTTGAATCAGAAACGATGTACGGTAAAATAGCGGAAGTAGATACTTTGCCGTGACGGTTAAATATCCACTTTGAATTTATTATGATTATGAATGCAAACTCTTATAATATCAAATAGGAAAATCTTAAGTGCGAATTCCGATATTTTGAAACTGAATTCCAGTGTTTATGTTTTCAGTGTCAATTCCTGTGATTTTCAGTGTTTAAGGGGTGTCACGGTGGCTAAGTGGGTAAGACGTACGCTCTCTTAATTGCTAGCCTGGAGGTCGGGTGTTCGATCCCTGCATTGGCCGAGCAAGGTCATCCAGATTTTCCTGCGTGGTTCCCCCCTTGTCAGTGAAACAGGACGGAAGGCCTGACAAGGACAGCTGTCTAGTTGTGCGGATGGTACGAAAAAACAAGGTCCCGTGTACACATTGGCGTGCACGTAAAAGATCTCCCTTAACAGTTAGAATTCGATATAAGAGTAGGCCGTAGTGCCGCTGTCCGGGCAAAATTTCCCTCATAGCACAGCGTATGCCCGTTTCCAGTAGCCCAGTTCGGAGCAGAACAGTATGACGTTAAACCCCATTTCATTTCAGTGTTTGAAAGTAATTTATTATAAATGCAAACTATTATTAAATAGGAAGGTCTTAAGTGCGAATTCCGACATTTTGAAAGTGAATTCTGGTGTTTATTTTATGTTGCCAGTGTGAATTCCGGTGATATTCTGTGTTTTAAAGTAATTTATCATCAATTAATGTGAAATATTAGTAAATAGGAAGGTCCTAAATTTAATGCGAATTCCGATATTTTGAAAGTGAATTCCAGTGGTTATATGTTTTTAATGTGAATTCCGGTGATTTTTAGGTGTTTTAAAGTAATTTATTATCAATGCAAAATATTAGTGAATATAGCGATCTTGAGCAACTCTTTTGTTGGATATTCAGCGGTCCATAAATAGATTATTATTATTATTAAGGTCTTAAGTGTGAATTCCGATAGTTTAAGTGTGAATTCCAGTGTTTATTATATGTTTTTAAAGTGAATTTCGGGGATTTTTGGTGTTTTTAAGTAATTCAGTATTATATTAATGCAAAATATAAGTAAATAGGACGATCTTGTGGGCGAATTCTGATATCTTTAAAGTGAATTCCGGTGAATTCCGGTGTTTGTAAGTGAATTCCGGTGTTTATAAGTGAATTCTGGTGAATTCCAGTGAATACTGGTGATTAGTCTACCCCTCTATTCTATGCCTATGGGGATACTAGACTGAACGTTCAAGAATTGATTTCTCTAAATCCCCAAAATAGTGACAATCGAATGAAAAGGGGGATTTTGGACAACAATGCATGCGCTGGACGCATAAGAAAATATCCCTACTAACCATGATGGCTGAAACCTATTATATTGCGGTTGTGCTTAATAGCATCATGATTTTACTCACACCACCTCCGTTGTCGGGACTAACAGAACTGTGAGTGTGACAGGACTGAATTCCACTTCACTCGGCTGCAATTCTGTCAATTTGAGACATTCCCAATCCGATTAAAATACAGATCTACATTTTGTTTTTTTTATACTTTCGCTGGCCTGCACCACATGATGATCTGACAAGTTCTACTCGAAGCTTGCGTCAGACGTCATATGGACGACTTTTGACCCTATGACGTCAGATATTGATTAATCAATCAGTGTTGACGTTTTTAGTGGTTTACCCACAGTTCCGTGCATGGCATGCCAAGAACTCGCCGTAACAGACGGTTTCATTGGCTAATCCCTCACTTCAACCAAAACGCTGGTAATATAACAACTCTTCCAGATCCTAGTGTTGTAAAGACAAGTAAAACGAAATTTTGAACTATGAAAAACAAAATGAAATAGGATCTGTGTTTTAATCAGATTGTGATGTTCTGTACTGACAATCGAGCATCCCCTGTATGATCTAGGCTACTAGGCCTAGACTACAGCATGTAAACGACCGATAAGACAGACAAACCTATGGACAAGACAAACTACAACAAACATCTCAAGAAATAAACAAAACATTTCAAATCAAGTGAATAGTCTAGCTATTTAGTAACTGTATCTGATCGGACTATATCCCGTCACTGTTACTGTCCATCCCTAATTAACAGGTAATGTAAAAATAACACTTTACACCAGCTTGGTTCTAAGTGCAGGTTTCATAATGTTTGACCATTTCAAACAAATTTTGTTTGTGTTTTTGAATCGTAAAATTCTTTTTGAAAATAGTCTTGAATTATCTTAAATTTGTGTCAGATCTGTCCGGAAATGAATCCTTTTGGTGAACAAAGAAGAATCACGTTAAAAAATAGATGATAAGGATTCCAAAACAACCTTAGAACCGAGGTGGTGTAAAGCGTTATTTTCATATTACATGTTAATAGGGACGGACACAATAGCTGAGAGGACATGGTCTGATCAGACACCGTTACTAAAGTAACTAGTGAATAGCCTACCTTGTTTGTGTATGGTGGTCCTATATTCCCCATGTTCGTTTCTTTTGCCTCCAACAATTGTCCTTTTATTTTAACACTATGATAAAATTCAGCTCTGTAGTAGGTCAATAAGATTCCAAATTTGTCTCAAATATATTGGCTGTTAAACCAAGTCACCTTGCAATGATTACCAAAATAAGAGAGGGTGCCCTTTTCAAAATAACCTGTACAACAACTGTATTCAGACTTCTGACTGTCAGTACCATTAACATACTGATGCACAACAGAACATGTAATTGTTTCAGTGACATTTAGTAAATTGTATAACAACACATAAGCTTATGGTTAATATGGTCATCTGCATGCTGAAACCTCCCTGTTTTCACAAATAAGCAAAATAATGATGTTTACAGTGAGTGATGCTTACAATCAACATTATTTCAGAATATTGCAAGTACCAGAACATAACTATCAAATTTTCTAAATTATTTATTTTCAACACGTTACCAGAAAATTACTTAGTGTTATGTGTTCCTTGCATATAAAATACTCTTATAACTGTTTCAACAATGTTATTAATAAAATGATTGTAAAACATGACCACCTTTTTATTTTCTATAGTTGAGAACATTTGTTCTGTCTGTGAAGAATGAAGATAAAGTAGCTCGTGTTCGAGCTCAACTACTTCATATCTTGTATGAACTGGGCAAGGATCATCATCAGTTTAGATTAAGATATAGAGGAGAGATTCTTCGGGATGCAGATTATTTGGGAGATTATCAAATTGGCGATAATTGTGTAATTACTATGGTTCCAATGGTGAAAAAATTGGAGGTGAGTAATATATGGCTAAAACTACTACAAACTTTCACTGATCAAATTTAAAAATCTGCATATTATTTCCGTTTATTTGGTTAGTCATGCCATAACATCTAAAGAAATATTTGATAAAAGTGTTTTCCCGCTCTGTGTTTTTATTTGAAGAGTTTAAAAATAATATTCTTAATTTTCAGAGATTTTTTCAAAATGTATTATAAAGGCTACATGTACATGTATATAGAGGGTTGCTCAAAGTTTGTTTCAAAGCTTAATAAATAAGAAATAATATTCTATTTTTCTAAGATTTTCTCAAAATTTGTTATAAAAGGCTGTATGCTTTTTTTTATTTTTTTATCTTTTTTTGAAAATATAGTTTGATGGTGTTTCCGTATCCAGCAGTCAGACAAATTATGATTCAAGCTCTGGTCAACCACCTGATATAAAAGATGCTCTCAATCGGGAAGTCAAGCATTTTGATCAACGGGAAAAATTTCTCAATGATTTCAAGGTATTTTATCATAATTTTTTTCAGTTTGATCTTAAAGTGAGAAAATTGTAAATAGAATAAACACAGATGTGTATATACAGACAGTGGTAAATGATGGTTAATTTAAAGATTGAACCAGAAAATGAAATGATTATGTTACACTTCTAAAAGTAATCATTTTATCTTCCTTGCTTCCGGCTTTGAATTTACATATTTTATCCATAACTTTGGTTTAAATCACACAATATTTTACAGATATACTATTCAAAAAAAGTAGGGGATATTTGATTTTGGGGGCATAATACTAAAATATGCAAATGACTACGAAAAAAGTCACTATAGAACCTAACAGAAGAAACATTTCCAGTTACATGTGACGCCCAAACGCACCAATAGCTACCGCATGGAATGCAGGTGATGCTTGGGATCATCATGGAGGTCCAACCCAAGATTTGCACGACTCTGACTTTGAATGTTACAGTCATTGTGGCATTGAATTCCAGGGTGGAAACATCAGTTTAATTGTTTTAGTGACCAGAAAACAAATTTTGATATGCGTCGGCTTACCCAAAATGAAAGGTTACGTGCCCTTGGCATGCTACAGATCGGCACAACACAGGCGGTTGTGGCGCGGACGATGAATGTTTCTCAGTCTGTCATAAGCAGGCTATGGTCCAGATACCGTGATACACAATCTGTACAGGACAGACCACGCTCAGGTCGACCAAGGGCGACAACTCAAGCCCAGGATCGATTTATCCGTGCCTTGGCCTTGAGAAATCGTGTCATCACAGCAAATCAGATCAGCGCTCGTCTTCAAACAGACACTGGTGTGAGAGTGAGTGGCCAGACGATTCGGAATCGACTGCATAGTGGTCACCTTCGCGTCCGACGTCCTCGCGTGATCCCTTGTTTGAGAGATCATCACATTCAGGCAAGACGTCGTTGGTGTAGGGATCGTCAACACTGGGATAATCGACGCTGGAGCAATGTGATGTTTTCAGATGAGTCAAGGTTCACTGTTGACTTTTTGGACAGACGTAGGAGGGTGTGGCGTCGTCGAAACGAGCGCTTCCAAGACGTTAACGTCATCAGACATGATCGATTTGGGGGTGGTTCTGTTATGGTGTGGGGAGGCATCACTGTTGCTGGAAGAACGGCTTTACATGTTGTTGCAGGGCGTGTTACAGGCCAGTACTACCGGGACAACATCTTGGCAGTCCATGTTGTGCCGTTCGCAAGACGTCATGGCCGCCGTTTCATCTTCCAGGATGACAACGCAAGATGTCACAGGGCCAGGATCGTTACAGGTTACCTCCAACAACAGAACATCACCACATTACCTTGGCCAGCACTGAGTCCCGACCTCTCCCCCATCGGGCATGTCTGGGACATGCTTGGACAGAGGTTACGTCAACGTCAACAACGTCCTGCCAATGTCCAAGAACTTGCTGCTGCGTTGCAACAGGAATGGGACAATCTGGACCAAAATGACCTTAGACGTCTCATTAGGAGTATGCCACGTCGGATCAATGGTTGTTTGGCAAACAGAGGAGGATTTACCCGTTACTGACTTGGTTGTGATGATGTGGTAACTTTGCTGTTTGACCCCGGGTATCATTTTACCCTTATAATGGTCAGTCTGTGCCTTACTTAGTCTAACGATCATTTGGAATAAATCGATGAATGTGAACTTCATTTCATTTTGTCATTTGTTTCTTCGTCAGTTTCATTAGGTGACTTTAATAACACTTAAAAATCAAATATCCCCTACTTTTTTTGAATAGTATATATATCTTTTTAGGTCGTCATATATGTAATGATCATAATTATGGAAACAGTTTTATATAAGTACTTTTGCTGCTTACTGCATCCTATTCACTTACATTTTTCAAAATGATCAATTATTCAGTAAATACTAATCTTCGCTTGAATAAAACACTATTTAAACCAGATGTGTACATATACAGATCTACACTTTCCAATTTAAATTTAAATGGACTTGACATTTTTATGAAACACTGAATCAAAAAATATTTAAACCCAGATTGCCAAAATAGATCTCTAAAATACTGTCACATGAATGAATTATATTTTGTCTCAGATATTGTAATTTTATATTTCAAAAGAATGCATAAGGACAACCATGCTACTTGAATAAAACTCTGAATCCTGTCATACTTTTGATTTTTTTCTTCATCTAATTTTATTTGCACATAGATTAGAAATCTGAAAAGCTGAGACATCTATCAGAATATAGACTTTCCATAATTTCAGGCTCTTCTTTACATTCACTCATTGTTGGTGTTTTTGGCTTTAATGTCTGTTTATTGGTATTCAGCTGCTTGGACAGGTTGTCTGTTTGTCGTAGCTATAATCTTTGTACCAAGTTATTCCAGATTAGGTGGATTCGTTGGTAATAACACACATCTGTAAGTGATAATTATTCAATTTTCTTAGATTTCTGTTTTGAAATACTATAACTAATGAACAACTGAATCTTCCATGTTATTACGTTTCAGAATGAAGTATTTTTACTGAAATTTCAATATATTCTTTTTTCATTATCTATTTTTAAACTGTTAGTGTTAGTGTGAGAAATGTCAGCGCTTTATCTAAATCATACATAATGCATTTTTAATATTTGTGAAAATTCAGTCTATTCACCAATTAATAGGCTGGTAAAATAATGATGAGAATTTCTCATAAGACAGTGCTGCTTTAAAAGATGATTTGGGGGGTTGGATGGCCGAATGGTTAGCACGCGCGTGCTGTATCATACGGCCTGTCATTGAGCCAACTGGCGGGGTATCGATTCCCCAGTTGTACATGACAAGGAGTAGGGTCGCCTGTCCAACCTCGTGGGTTTTCTCCGGGTCCTCCGGTTTCCTCCCACTGCTAAAGACACCTACGCGCAAGCGAATAATTGAAATAAAATTGAACCATGTGTTAGTCCCAAAATGACCTAGTTTGTGTCAAGTGGACGTTAAACCCCATTTCTCTCTCTCTTTTTAAAAGATGATTTAGCATTTTGGAGGTCATGGCCAGTTGGTACAAAAATAATTTGCAGGCAGTGACTTGTCTTTCAGTATTTTAAAAATGATGATTATTCAAATTTAAGTACATTAATTATTTTCTCTTTAAAGGTCTACATAGAAATAAGGGTTAAGATTACAAATAACTGCAGGTTTAAACTTGGTATAACCCAGCACTATAAATATGTCACTCTCAGCCAGGTTAGGGACTTACTATAGTGTTTAAAATTATTAGTATTTGTTTGTGTTTTCTATTTAACTTTTCATATTAGGAGAAAGTATTATTGTGTTGGATTTGGTATTGGAGGATTGATATGCCTGGGTGTAGCCATTTGTTTCTCGGTTATTACTTGGACCAGAATTGTGGTAGGTATCATTGTATATAAATGTAATTTGTATACGTTTACTTTATTTTTTTACCAGTGGCATAGCGACTGGTGGTATGTGTGTGTGTGTGTGGGGGGGGGGGGGGGGGCGGGGGCAGCAAGAGAGAAACCCCTTTAATTTTAAGTTTGTATTTCAAGATCAGAAATTTGCCCGTCAACATTCATATTGTCGGCAATTAACTAAGATACCCTACATATAAATACTCTGACAATCTGTTAGTCTGATAGACTTATGCCCAATTACAACATTTTGCTTTATGCTGCCTTCTGTAATTTCTTTGTCCATCACAGCATACACTATCACAATTCATTCATATATCTGTGAATCTGTTGGTTTTTAGGCTAGACCTATTGACTGTCTTAGTGTGGATTAATCAACTGTTGTGTTAAAACTGGACACGTAGGGGATTCAGAATCCAACAAGCATTTGTGGATTCTTGTTTTGAGGAGACAATTTCGTTTTCGTTTTTAGGCTAGACCTATTGACTGTCTTAGTGTGGATTAATCAACTGTTGTGTTAAAACTGGACACGTAGGGGATTCAGAATCCAACAAGCATTTGTGGATTCTTGTTTTGAGGAGACAATTTCGTTTTTTGTTTTTTACATTTAGTATACCGGTATATACATGTATGTAACAAAGCCTTTAAGAAATAAAAGGACGACATAACATTTATTCATTTATTTTATATATGGAGTGGACTAGGTTCTGCTACATCTTTTGAGATGTAATTAAAAATTAAAACACGAAATATGTGGACAATAAAGTCATTTGTGCCTCTTCCTCAAAAAATTTAGACTCTTCACTTTCTTGGTCCAAAATCCTAGCTTCTCCACTGGTTGTGTAAATGTGGTATAAATGTGTACAGATATTGAAGTCTCTGATTATCATTTGAAGGATTTCCAATCAATATCATGAAAATTGAATCTATAAAAGGTATATCAGTTCCCTTCAATACCTACTTAGACATGATGAATTGAAAATTTGTCAACATTGGTCACCATTGACCATTAGCGGATTTCAATACTCCAACAAATCACTAAATTCAGGTTTTCGGGAAAAGAATAGCCTTTTGGAAGGATTATTCTAATGAAAATATACTTTCAGAATCATGGTTGCAAAGACTGGATGTTTGTAGATGATTGTTCACATCAACAAGTCTTTTCTGCCCTTCTGTACACAGTACATTCCCTGTTGTTTATTGTATCAGTGGTGGTAATATGGATCCTTTTGATAAATTTTCGTGTAGAGGTATGCAGTTTTCTTTTTTTAAATATTTTTTACAGTCCATCACTAGAGATCTAATTACAGGTCTTACTTAGAACTAGATTACTAAATGCTTGTTTCCAGAATGTACCAGTTAATATCTTCAAAATGTGATATTCAAAATGATCTATGGTGTTCTAAATAGGCAGGAGGATTGCTTTGTCATACTGAATTGTCAAACCCACTGTAGTTGGATTTTTTTTATCATGTTCCTAATAATTTTAGTAAAGTTTACAATGATTCGTGAGATTTATTTTAAAATTTTGTTTTGTTCAATTATGTATTCTAGGTTGGTGACTTTATAGAGAAATATCTGGTACAGGAAAGAGACATTGAAAAGGTTGTTTCAGCAGCCAAAAATGGAAGGTTGATATATTTTATATAAAGAGCAGTAATGTTTTACTAATATCTTGTCTGTGATATTATCCTCTTTGGAAACAGACATTAAGTCCCATGAACAAACTTTGTCAATGAAATTATATTTCAGTCATCTTGTGTTAGGCTATGCTTGTTGCAACCTTGCAAGTGAATCAGAATCCTCTATTTATGTTATTATTGTTCAAATTTCAAGACAAGTCCCCAGTGCTGCACACTACAAATATCATATTCATGACCTTGAACACAAAGATGGAAATATACCAACACCCTAACACAAACAAAAGTTTATTTAAATTGCACTCTATGTATTTTGAGAAGGAAAAATGACTATTTTTCTCAGACACCCGTGATCAGAAATTGATATATCTTTGTGGTGCTCGGTAATTAAGATATCTAAATATGAGTAAAGCATAATCCTGTATTAAAGTAGTTAGAAATGTGTTAATTATTGGAGGATTATAAATATGTTTACAGTACAAAAGTAAAAAGACAAGCAGCTTATGAACTAGCTACAATGGCTGCTTCAAGTGATGATAATAAGTTAATGATAGCAGCTGAAGGAGGGTGAGTAGGAGTATATATCTGCTAGAGCACTCTGAATAATGCCTTGAAATTAACTTGTCTCAAATATCATGTATATTCTTTCTTATTTTATAAATATTATTACCTTTTCATCAAATATTATGCAATTCAATTAATATTTTCTCAGATGTGTATAAAGAATACCAAACATTGATATTGATTACTAAAATTGGGTGTTACATATTAAGTATGGTTAATAAGTATTGAAATCTTGTATGTTTTAGACTACTGGTTTTAGAATCGTTAGCCTTATGTCGTGATTCAGCTACACAAGAACATGCTATAGAAGCTCTAGCAGAACTCCTCATTATACCCTCTATGCAGGTATTTTTTATTACTCTTTGATTATTTTTTTATACAGCTATACACAGTCACTTACTGATGATAATAATTCATTATCTCTTTAATTCACATTTTCCGGCAGATCTCAATCTTGGACAAGGAAATCAATCTTATTTTACTTCCTTTGATTTAGATATATTAATAAATTTGTTTGACAAATTTAATATCTTGATTACCATTATGTTGACTGTTTTTGTTGCAGGATACATTTGTTAAAATGGGTGGTTGTCGTAGCTTGTCAGCAGCACTACATTCATCTCATTCAAGAGCTGTCCAGGAAGCAGCAAATGCCATCTATATCATCGTGTCAGAATCAGAAGAAAATAAAAATAATGTTATAGCTGATCGTGGGTTGGTCTATTTTTGTTATTCTCCTTAGCAATAGAAAACTAAACTTGCAAGATAAGGGTCACAAAATGCTTGCAAATTCTATCGATGTACTGTGGGGTGAACTTTCTGGGGAAACATTATATAACAGAGAATTTGCTATATAATAGGAAACAGCAAGTTCAGAATATAAGTACAGTTTTAAATAAATAAAGATTCTTTTTTAAGTTGTCTTACTAAATTTAAAACCTGCAAGCCGAAACAACTGGTAGATTATTGTTGTTGCTGTAATGAATTAATGGATATTAATTGGTTCTGGATTGTTAAAAACTTCAAATTTTCTACGCAGTCATGTATAGTGTGTTGATTGGGGATTATTTTATTAAATTGGTATAATATTTTCTTCAGATTTTTACCGGACTATTTTCAGCATTGTTAGGGTAGACTCATTGCACGTATTTACTCTATAATTAAGATTTAGTTATGATCTTTATTTCATTGTAAAGAAATTAATGTAGAGAATACATCTTTAAAATGTTAATTAAATGTATATTGTTATAATGAATTATTATTATTATTACAGAATAGAAGATTTAGCACATGTAGCTTATGAAGGTAATACGGTCAGTCAGAGAACCATAGCTAGCATATTTCTGGAACTAGCGTTTAATAATGAGATCAGATCCCAATTAACATCTTCTAACATTCCAGGTATCTTTATTTGTTTTATTTTTATGAATTAAAAGGAGCCGTGGTGACTCAGTGAGTAGGATTTGCAGGCTCCCTAAGCAGGAGGTCTTAGGTTTGCTCCCGCTGTTGACTGAGGAAGTTCTTCGGGATTTTCTGGTGTGGTTTCCCATTGTTAGTGGTGCAGAACAAACTGTCTAACAAGGAACATCATCTAGTCGGTTGGATGAGATGAAAAACCAAGGTCCTTTGTACTCATTGGCATGCACATAAAAGAACCCTTGACAGTTGGAATTCCAAATAAGAGTAGTCCTAAGTGGCACTATCTGGACAAAATTTCCCTAATAACCCATTCAGTTTCCTTAATAGCCTACTCTAATATGTATGCCCGTCTACTTTAGCCCAGTCAATGCCAAAAAGTAGGATGTTAAACCACATTCCATTTCATTTATGAAATGAAAAACAATGGAATTTCTACTTACTTCAATGAAAAAAGCAAACCAGCTGTTCTTTAAGAAGTAAATTATTTTCTTGGGTTATTTGAGAAAACCTCTTTTTGGTTATAAACTAAACATTGCTGTATATAAGGATTGTTATATTTATTAATAATTGGATGTTATTTTCAGCCCAGGCTCTGACTAGTTTATGTGAGAATAAAGATATGGAGACTAAACGTTATTCCCTCCAGGCTCTAGAATTAATGGCAATAGAAAGTTCGGATATGATTTGTGCTCAGGTAAATAAATTCATATATTATCTCATCAAAGTCGAACCGCGTGGGTTTTCTCCGGGTCCTCCGGTTTCCTCCCACTGCTACCCCTACGGGCAAGCGAATTATTGAAATAAAATTAGACCATATGTTAGTCCTGAAATGACCTAGTTTGTGTTGAGTGGACGTTAAACCCCATTTCTCTCTCTCTCTCATCTCATCAAAGACAAAGTCAGGTTTCTGAAAGCAAGACAATTATTGTCTCCCCAGGGAATCTTTGTGATTTTCAATTATAGAGTACAATTGCCTCCTTCTATACCATATTATTTTGTTGTAAATCTGTTGTGTGGAAAATGTATGGCATGCAGAGTAGCAAACAGATTAAATTAATTTCAGTACAAATTATTTAGTTTACATAAGATGAGAAATGGCAACACCCCCTTAAAAGAGTAGCAGTTCACATAAGAGTTAGTAATTTCTTGTTTTACAGTACATTAAGTTATTTTAAGACAGAACAAATTCATTGTTATGCACTTAGTAATGTTAATTTTTTATTTTCAGGAAAATCTTTTGAATATATTATTGGAAGTACCATTCAAGACAATGGATGAAAAACTATATTTACTTGCTGGTAAAATACTCATGTATTATGCTGAGAATCCTGAGGTAAGTAATTCACTTTCTCAATGTTGCATTTGTTATATATGGTAGTATGGTACTAATAAAGTATAGCAGTGTCCATTCCAATCCTAAGCAAGGGTGAAATAGTTCAATGGAATGTTGTTTTTTGTCCTTATTTGATGTGCTTGAAATATATTAGCTATAGACTTACTATTGAAGTGGGGGGGTTGGATGGCCGAATGGTTAGCACTTGCGCATTGTATCTTAAGGTCTGTCATTGAGTCAACTGGTGTGGTTTCGATTCCCTGGCTGTACGTGACAAGAAATATGGTCGTCTGTCCAACCTCGTGGGTTTTTTCCTGGTCCTCCAGTTTCCTCCCACTATTAAAGAAATGAAATGAAATGAAATGAGGTTTAACATCCTACTGTTCTTCTCCGAACTAGGCTAATGAAGACGGGCATACGTCATACAATCTGCTATGCAGGAAATTTTGCCTGGACAGCGGCACTACGCCCTACTCTTATATCGAATTCCAACTGTCAAGGGATCATTTACGTGCATGCCATCACTGACAAGGGGGAACCACGCCGGAAAATCATAATAAACTTTCTCGGCCAATGCAGGGATCAAACACCAGACCTCCAGGCTAGCGAGCCAGCGTCTTACCCACTTAGCCACCGTGCCACCCACCCCTACTACTAAAGATACATATGCGCAAGTGAATTATATGTTAGTCCTGAAATGACCTAGGTTGCGTCGAGTGGACGTTAAACTCGATTTCTCTCTCTCTCTACTATTGAAGCAAAAAAAATACTATTTGCAATTAATGGTCACAGATTTATCTATACAATAATTCCTATAATTCATATCAAGATGAGCTTTGTAATAGTATTAAGGCGTATATTTTATAGAGTTCCTTGGTATGCAAAAATAATATCCTATTAGTCTGAAATAGATATTACATGTTTGTTATTATTTATATCCATCCGTAGATTAAAGATCAATGATTTTGACTCAAATTTTTAAATGCACATTTACCATTTGTAGAATAATTAAAGATCATTTTTACTTTAGACTTGTGAACAACTACTTGACAACAGTAATGTAAAAGAGAGTTTAGGATTGTTTGCCAGAACAGATGATCCTGTCTTACAGAAAGTAGTTTCTAAGATCATCTTCTGTACACTTGAAACTAAAGAGCTTAAGTAAGTAACTATGTAAAGAAGATTATTTGAAAGTTAAAATTTGACCCTATTCAATCAAAAGCAATTTACTGTTTTACAAAAAATGTTAGTCATCCATGTCAGTGGGAAACTGGTTTCTTACCTATTATTAAAACCCCAATACTGCCAGTAGCTATTGAAATACATATGATCATGTTTATCTAAGCATTAGATATGGCAATTAGTATATTGCTACTTTGACTGTATTAACCAAACTCGAATCATAGTGCTAAGAGATCACCAAAATTAAGGAATTGGATAATTATAAATTAAACTTTTTTGTATTTGTTAATTCAAGATGTTGATATTGCCATTTCTAATTTATCAAGGATGAGAGCCCTGCATTTGAAACTTGATCGAGTTTTAGATTATATTAAAGAGCATGCTGCTGACAGAGAAACCTGGGATATGGCCGACCAAGGTAAGCATCTGTAATGCAATTTTAATAAATTTTTAAAATAGATCTATTGCTATAATAGAAATTAGACAACTATCGACATTTCTAATATTAAATTTTGTTGTGAAAAGATGTTTATATGCTAGAATCAATAAAGGGGAAATAACTCTGTTTTTTGTACTTGAAGCAATATTATCCCCCCTTAGACCACAAATGTTAATCAGTGAGGTTCGATTTGTTTAATTTTTATGGGGGCATGAATCATATGAATGTATTTTAATTTTACTACCCAAATGAGGCTAATTTAAAACAAATTGTTTTAAAAATTTGTCTTTACTCAAACTTATATAATATTTGACTATTTTTGTAGCGCTTAATGATATGAACTCATCAGATGATTTAAACAACCTACCAACATTGTCCACATTAGAAAAACTCAAGAAAATGGAATCAAAAGATAAATTTGGGTCAAGTTCATCTGTTGGATCAGAGGTTAAAGGTCAAGACAGTTTCACCAGTTCTAACTCTGATTTGAAGAAATAAAACAGAGATATAAAAAACAAATATTATTATCATTGAAAGATGCGTTATGTAAGAGCTAAATATAACAACTCTGTAGAGTATCGGATTACACCTGTGAGATTTAGAAGTTTAACGATAAAATGGATAAGCGAGACTTAGTATTGTTGCTACTATAATAAACAATCTATGCTACATCTTCAAACACTCATAACTTCAATATTTTTGAACTATTATAGCAAGAACTGCCAGCTCTTTATTTAAATCTTACATAATGCATCTTTAAAAAGAACTTCACTTTGATCTGGTTAGACTTTAGACACAATCATTATCCACCAGAAATAAGAAAATAATTTATCTGTCACAATATTTTAAAATGTATTTACCTATATATTTATACTTTGCTTTATTACAATAATATATATAATTCATTTTTTTGATGAGAATTTGATTGAACAGGTGAATCAAAATTATTTTTTTTACAAATGAACATTATATTATAATCTTATACTGTGATATTTTATATGTATACACTTTATTGGATATATTTTTCTGTATTTATATGTGATGTTTGCTGTTGATAATATCAAACTTTTATCATTTCATTGCAAATTTTTTTTATAAATAATATATATATGTGCTATTTACTACAGTTTATTAGATCCATTCAATTATTTGCTTTTACTGTGAAAAGCTAATTAACACTCTTTATTTGACTGCAGGAATTTTTACAACCCCCAAGTGGGAATATCAGCTACCGATTTTTTTATGCTGATCACAATGCTAAGAAACTATTTAGACGAAAGTTGGCAAAAGCAATCTGATTTCAGTACACAAACTGAAATATATAACCAAAATTGCCCTGTACACTGTAGATATATCTATTGTAAGTTAACCTTATAAATACATAAAGTTGCAATATAAAAATAAATAATTAATATAATGATAATCAAAATTGATTAGTAGCCTGTATTAATATGTTATGTTTTACTGTGTCTCTGATCATGTGATACTCCGCCCTTCTACACTTTATTTATTTTTATACTCTGTATTTTCATTGAAACCAATAAAAATGCATTTGAATTATACCTGATATTATACTTGTCCATCCATATAAAACATAAATTATTATCCAGATATATACTGGTTTTATAAACCTCTTTAATTTAGACCAACAAGTAAGATTTTATGACTGTACATCAAGGTTGATAATAATTGCTTGTCTCAATAACACATCAGATCAACCCCAGTTGACTATAACTTATAATTCTAAAAGTTAGAATTTCAAGCTGGGTCAGACTTATGAACATTGAAATCCCCATCGGTCTGGCGTCCATAATTGCTTGTGGACGCTCTAGAGGCCAAAGTTAATATCCGATTGACTTTAAATTTATTCACAGTGTTTAAGGTCATGAGACAAAGAAGCCTATTGATTTTCAGCAATTTCCAATAATTACTGCCCGAGTTATGGCGCTCGATCACTTCAAAATATCTTGTGGACACTCTAGAGGCTAAAGTTAACATCTTTAAATTTATACACAGTGTTTAAGGTCATGAGACAAAGAAGATTATTGATTTTCAGCAATTTCCAATAATTACTGCCAGAATTATGGCCCTTGATCACTTCAAAATATCTTCTGGATGCTCTAAAGATAATATCCGATTGACTTTAATTTATACACAGTGTTTAAGGTCATGAGACGAAGAATCTTATTGATTTTCAGCGATTTCGGGTAATTACTGCCAGAGTTATGGCCCTTGATCACTTCAAAAAATCTCGTGGACGCTCTAGAGGCTAAAGTTAATATCTGATTTTCTTTAAATTTATACTCAGTGTTTGAGGTCATGAGACGAAATATCCTATTGATTTTCAACGATTTCCGATAATTTAAATTATCATCCAATTGATTTCTGATTGATAAGGTCTTGAGACGAACAAGTAGATTGATTTTCAATGAATTTTTATAATTTGGAACAGCTAAATCCATGATATTAAATGTTTCGTATACTAAACATTCGCATGGGGCAGAACTTTATAAAAACCAAACAAATTCTAATGATTTTCTGATAATTACTTAATGAGTTGTTACTCTTAATCAGATTTTAGTGTATTATAAATGTTTCATTACCGAATAAAGTAAAAATATGCGACAACTCTTGTTGACTGTCTGGACAATTTAGCTGCTGTGGGCGTATGTTTCGTTGCCTGGCAACCTATCTTTCATATTTGACCGGAAAGAGGCTATAGACCTTTTTTTTTCAATAATATGAGGAGAGACTTATTCATGGGATACAACCTGTTTTCAGATGCCTAAAGAAGAGTGTTCAAATCGTTACGGGCAATACATCTTCGTCTCATCAACATATCAAGAATATCCAAAGGCAGCAACTCGAACAGTTTGTTAATTTGATGGGTTTCTTCCTTTTGACCCCAAAACAACTTCGCCAAGTATTCACATGATTTCATAAATGGAGAGTAACACTGTGATTTGCAATCAGAAAATTCTGAATTTGGGCAGGTTTCATTCTTATGTCCCAAGAAATAATCACTGCATGTGAATATGATAAAATATGTCAAGTACTCTGGCCAACAAACTCCAGGAGGTGGCGACAATATACATCCACAGGATCAGTATAAGTTATTGTATAACTATTAACAATGATCAACAAAAAGAATATAGCAAATTAAGATTTTGCATGGTTTTATTTCTTGTTATACATTAATATTTTATGATACAAAAAACAAACAATTTGAAAATAGTCCATTAACAAAACAATGACAATTAAATACCTTATTAATATTCCCACATTCATAAGAAAATATATATAATCATTATGGACTATAATAAACATCGAAAACTATAACTAATAATTATCTTTTTCAAATAATTATACAAAAAAATTTGGGGGTTTAAAATGAAGTACAAATCCTTATTAAAAGCTTATAAAGATAGGTTGCCTGGCAACAATTAATACATATGCTCACAGTCATCCAACCAATCCATGAAGGATCTCAGATTGTTATTCTTTTGTAGGTAATGGGGAGCATTTACAAGACATAAAACACTGAAGTAAATATTTTATTGTTTTGTGTTCAATTAACAAATTATGACCCTGGCTTTAATGTTATGAAAGTAACTGTATAAACAAAACCATGTGTTATAATAGCCACTCTACGTACTCTGTAAACATTTTGAATACGCTATGAAAGTTGTTAGAGAAAAGAGTTTAACGTCCACTCAAGACGGACTAGGTTATTTGAACTAATGAATGGTACTTCTTTATTTCTATAATTGATTACACGCAGGGATCATTAGCAGTTACTCAGTTAGAGGAAACAGAAGAAAACCATTAAGGTTAGGCAAGCGACTGTACAAGCCTCGGTTAGAACTCTGACCGGCAAACTGGTCACAAGAAACAGTAACCAAACTCCAGACTTATGGACACGGGATAAAATACATCCATATTGGATGGCAGTGTATAAAAACAACACATTGCAATGTCAACGTATAAATATAACACATTACTATGTCAGCATGTAAAAATAACACATTGAAATGAATTTGAAAAACTTAATTTGTCAACTGTTATGTCAAACTTAGTGTGAATTTTCCACTATAAAAATAAAAACTGTTTAAATTTTAAAAGCAGTAAGAAATATCCACTGCAAAAGTAAAACAATAATATGTGAATTTCTCAAATAAACAGTAAAATATGAAAAAGAATAAGCACACATACTAACAGTGGAATTTATTAGAGTTTATACTATACATCATTCTCGATATCCCCAGTGGTATCGTTCTATTCTACTCCACTAACCCCTGGCTCCATTCATGGGGTATTGACAACTTCAAATTTTCGGCCCTTGAGGATTTCATTGGCCAAAGTTTACAATGACGATTCAGTGATCTTAGTTGCAACAAAATGCAAGTTACTTCCCTTCGCTTTCTATGTGCGGAAATTTTAGATTTGTTGATAAATATAGCACAATTATCAAGGGCGACTAATTTGACATTTGACAATGTGCCTTCTCCATGAATGAACCCAGGGTTTGGTGGAGTAGAATTGAATGACACTACTGGGAATACGAGGATGACTATACATCCAAACATGATATAAAATATAAAATTAAATTGAGTGAACATTACAGAATAACACAGCTAGATTCTTCTATCTTTGTCAGTGACTTTAATTTTTTAACCGCTGGGGGTACTGCCTTGTGACAATATATAGAGGGACATTCCAGTAATTTAATCAAACAATCCACAGAATTGACAAGATCTGTATTTGTGATTTTCATTTTGCCCTTTCTTTTAAAACTGTTTCTCAACACCCAGGCCTTTTGAATAATTTCCTTATCTACATCAAAGGCTAAACTATTTTCAATATAACTTAAAGTAAATCTGATATCTTCATGAAATTCATTAGATTTATAATAAAATGAATGAGCTTTAGGAATCAGTACTCTTGCAACTTCGTAAGGATTGGACATCCATTTGCTAGAATGATATTTAGACCAATCTATTTTTTCCACGTATCCCTTTTCACAAAATTCAACAATTTCACGGCGCCATTCTTTACATGCAACACACCACTGTTGAGTTTGTTGAAATTTCTTACTGCAATTCTGGTTGGGACAAGGGGGTAGTTGCCCTATAAATCTTTTTGCATGTTTATGAAATGCTGCAATTCGATGGTGAGTACATATAGCCAAAGCCTTTGTTGCTTCACGTAGAGCTACATTTAAACATAACCAGTCCTGAGTTTGTGGATCAGTCATTTCTTGTGTTAGTATATCTTCTTTAGTGTGTGACGATCCCATACTGAATAACCTGTAGTATACAATGATATTTAAATTATAATTTAGCATTAACAAAGAGAGAGAAAGAGAGGGAAATGCATGGGGTTTAAAAAGTCCACTTGACACAAAGTACAGGGACTAACATATAGTTCAATTTTCTTTACATATGCAAGGAAACCTGAAAGACCAAGAGAAAACCCACAAGGTTGAATAGGCAACCTTAACAAGCAGGTAATCAAAACCACACCATTTGACTCAATGGTCGACAGACCTTGTAATGATGTACAGCTTACCCCAGCCAGTGCATGTGTTAAACCAGTCACCCTGCCCCCCCCCCCCCAACATTAAAAGAATAATAGCATCTAATTTAACTTAGAGACTAACAGAAGCTGAAGATTTCATGGCATACATTTGGAGAAAAAAAACTGCACAGCCCAACCGCCAGAAATCGCAGTCATCGCTAATTTTGGTACCGCCATTTAGTTTTTCAAACCATTGAGAAGCGTTCCCAAGACCCATAGCCTACTTCTCTCAGTAGTATTATTACTGACCCCTTCAGTCAAGGTAATCTGTGTAGACTAGCTATATAGTCTCACACTAGTGACTTACGCGTTTTTACGAGAAACCTATTATGGCTAATCAATTTGCAATTCCTTTTCAAACACATTTACAGCAAAAATTAGCCTAATCAGTTTCAACTGTCGTATTTACCACAACGATTTGCCAAATTGATTATGCAAATCTTTCAACTTGCTCGACTGCGGGATTGACGATTCGGTTTCCAAGTTGGCATCCTCAACAAGGGACACGACGTGCCCGACATTATTAGTTCATTTTCTTTTGAATTTCACGTTAAAATATGAATATCATGGATACAACTTCTCGTTTTTATGTGCGGTGTCTTCAAGAACAGAATAAAGAAAAATGAATTTTTTAACATTTTTCCTCAATTTTTCTGTCTTCAGATCTTGCGAGGCAACTCGCCGCGTTTACGAGAACCGATTGGAATACCAACTCTGAGACACTGATTTGTTTTCTCGTAAAAACGCCTTAAGTTTAGGAAGGGTTTAGACTGTTATTGTTGTTAAGGCTTCCTTGGTCCTTTTTACCTGATCCCACAACCTTTCTTGAAAGAAATGGAGACTTGCTTGATTCGTGTTCTGTTCTTTCTGGTCACTCACATTCTGCGTAAAATAAAGAGAAAATAGATTTAGAAATTCCTGTCAAAAGAAAAACTGAAAGCGAAACGTAAACAAAGACGTGACATGCGCAAATGGTTATTTCCTTCCGCTCTTTACCGGATATAAATGTCAGTATTGATAAAAATGAAAGTAGACTGATTGTTTGCAATTTTAATCAAGATGACCTCGCCCTCGAAAAGCACAGTTTTGATTGATTTAAGTGGCACTATTCATGTTGAGGACAAGGAGATTAATGGGTCGATTTCAGCTCTAGAAAAATTACGAAAATCTAAGATCAATATCAAATTCGTTACAAACACGACGAAAGAATCGAAGCGAATACTACTGCAAAGATTGACAGGTATTGGATTTTCTATCAGTGAAGACGAGATTTTTACTTCTTTGACAGCGGCGCACGACACATTGAAAGCTCGAGAACTGAGGCCATTTCTACTCATTGACAACAAAGCATTAGAGGACTTTATGGATTTGCATGAAGAGAATCCGAATTGTGTTGTCGTTGGTCTTGCACCAGACAAGTTTAGTTATAAATTTATGAATGAAGCATTTAAATTATTGCTCACAGGTGCCCCGCTAATCGCTGTGCATAAATCAAGATATTTTAAAACTAAAACCGGATTGGCCTTGGGACCGGGCCCGTTTATATCCGGATTAGAATACTCTTCTGGAATCAAGGCGGAAATCATAGGAAAACCATCTGCGGAGTTTTTCAAATCGGCTGTCAAAGAATTCAAAAGTGAACCCAAAGATTGTTACATGGTAGGTGATGATGTCAGAGATGACATTGGTGGTTCTCAAGCCATTGGAATGAAAGGATTACTTGTCCGCTCGGGCAAGTACAGGCCAGGCGATGAAAACAAAATTGAGCCCCCTCCTTACAATGTTGTAAATAATTTTTCTGAGGCTGTAGAAATCATTTTGGCAGAATTGAAAGAAGCCTCGTTATAGCTCCTCTTTTTGTAAGGAACGTATCTAAAGAGGTAAAGAATAGAGACTATAGATTTATTGTGGGGGACATGAAAACAAGATGTAACGATCATTAATGGCGCAGGTATAGTTTATAATAGAATACATATTTTTGTTTCCAACAAACTTACTGCTACTTGCCACTAGTATTATTTTTAGACGAAGTTGTTGGCAGAAAAATATATGTTGGAGCCGCAAAAAAATCACCAAAACTTAAATCTGGAAGTTCCCATTATTAGTATAGACGCGACAGTCTTAATATTTAGAATGCAGGGTCTTATTTATCCCTTTTTATACGTCCACATTCATAATGTGAACGTATTATGCCGTCGCCCCTGTCTGTGTGTGTGTGTGTGTGTATGTATGTGTGTGTGTGTGTGTGTGTGTGTGTGTGTGTCTGTGGTTCGCCTACAGGGCGCAATTCTTCATGGATTTTCTTCAAACTTGGTATACGTATTCCTTATACCCCAAGGAAGATCCCTATTGTTTTTGGTGCATGCCCGACCCCCCGGGGCAGAGCCACGCCCATTTCTAGTATTTGTTTGTTTGTCGTCTACAGGCCACATTTCTTAACTAATAATCTTGAAACTTTGCATACACATTCTTTGTACCCTAAGGAACATCCCTATCGTTTGGGGTGCATGCCCAACCCCCAGGGGCAGAGCCACGCCCATTTTCTTTTCGTGTGTCTTTGTGTCGCCTACAGGGCGCAATTCTTACTGGATTTTCTTCAAACTTGGTATACTTATTCCTTATACCCCAAGGAAGATCCCTATTGTTTTTGGTGCATGCCCGACCCCCAGGGGCAGAGCCACGCCCATTTCTAGTATTTGTTTGTTTGTCGTCTACAGGCCACATTTCTTAACTTATAATCTTGCATACACATTCTTTGTACCCTAAGGAACATCCCTATCGTTTGGGGTGCATGCCCAACCCCCAGGGGCAGAGCCACGCCCATTTTCTTTTTGTGTGTCTGTGTGTCGCCTTCAGGCCACAATTCTTAAGTTATCATCTTGAATCTTTACATACTTATTCCTTATACCCTAAGGATGATCCCTATTGTTTTTAGTGCATGCCCGATCCCCAGGGGCAGAGCCACGCCCATGCCTTGTATTTGTTTGTTTGTCGTCTATAGGCCGCATTTCTTAATGCATCATCTCGAAACTTTGCATACTTATTCTCTGTACCCTTAAGTTATCATCTTGAATCTTTACATACTTATTCCTTATACCCTAAGGATGATCCCTATTGTTTTTAGTGCATGCCCGATCCCCAGGGGCAGAGCCACGTCCATTCCTTGTATTTGTTTGTTTGTCGTCTATAGGCCGCATTTCTTAACGCATCATCTCGAAACTTTGCATACTTATTCTCTGTACCCTAAGGAACATCCCTATATCGTTTGGGGTGCATGCCCAACCCCCAGAGGCCAGGCCACGCCCATTTTCTTTATGTGTGTCTGTGTGTCGCCTACAGGCCACAATTTTTAATCGACCGTCTTGAAAAAATTTCATATGAATTCCTTATACCCTAATTAAAGATGATCCCTATTGTGTTTGGTGCATGCCCGACCCCCAGTGGCAGAGCCACGCCCATTTCTTATATTCATTGTTTGTCATCTACAGACCGCATTTCTTAATGTATCACCTTGAAACTTTGCATACTTGCTCCTTCTATCCTAAGGAACATCCCTATTGTTTGTGGTGAATGCTCAGCCCCCAAGGACAGAGCCACACCCATTTTCTTTTTGTGTGTCTGTATGTCACTTACAGCCTGCTATGCTTAATCGATCATCTTGAAAACTTGTTTATACTTATACGTTATACCCTAAGGATGACCGCTATTTTTTGGGTGATTGCCCAACCCCCAGGGGCAGAGCCACACCCATTTTTTCTTTGTGTCTCTGTGAGTTGCCTACAGGCCACGATTCTTAATGGATTGTCTTTGAACTTGGGATATGTTTTCCTTATAGCCTAAGGACGACAACTGCATGTCACGACACCCAGGGGTAGAGCCACGCCCAATTTTTATGTTAATCGTTTACAAGCCGGAATTCTGAATGGATCAACTTGGTATTTGGCATATGTATTCCTTAGAGCCTAAGGGCATCAACTATTGATTTTGGTGAATGCCCCGACGCCCAGGGGCAGAGCAACGCCCTATTTTTGCCTTTAACGTACAAAGGCCACAATTCTGAATGGATTATCTTGGAACTTGGTGTATTTATTCCTTAGACCCTTAGGAAGGCAACTATTGATGTTGCCATTTCAATAACAGGATGGTTTCTATTTATATTGTTTCCATATCCAACCCCCATGGGCAGAGCCACGCCCAGTTTTTGTATTTATCGTCTACAGGCTGCAATTCTGAATGGATCATCTTGAAATGTGCATATTTATTCCTTATACCATAAAGACAGCAACTATTTATTTTGACACTTGCCCCGACCTCCTGGGGCAGTGTCACACCCACTTTATTGTTAGTATTTTGTCTGTAAATTTGGCAAAACAAACCCGACGCCTAGCCTTCTTTGCCTCTGATCATATTACAGCCATTTCATATTTCATTCTCTTCATTTTAAAAAGTACCATATCAATCAAAGCTGGAATGTGGACGTATATTGCAGCGTTAGTGATGCTCTTGTCGTTTATCCCATGGTGATTCTTACTACATTATATTATTTTAAAAATAAATGTTATTTGTATTAGCGTGTAGTTACATTCCTTAAAAATAAATACATACACTTTATTTATTGGATTGCAGATTTAACATTATCAATAATCTGTTCTGTATGATATTTGGCATTAAATTCTTCAAATTTGGTCATAGGATTTATTCGCTTAGCCCATCCGGATACACACACACACACACACCCTGTTCATGCAGAGCCTATACAGGAGAGACCCAGGAGAGAGCCTATATACATTTAAAAGAGTAAATTTCCTTCAGAAACGGCCTCAGATGCAAGCAAATCGACTTCAACTTTAAAAATGTCCCCATGGGTGGGGTTAACCCCAATTTCCTCTCGAGGCCCCCGCTGTTTGTCACGCCGGAACAGCCCCCCACCCATCACTTTTCTGCAAAAGCCCCGGAAATTCGTGTGTGAACAGATAGGTCCATGGTATGTCGAAGGTTGGTCACAGCTGTATTGAAGACCTTGTTGAAAATCGTTGGACTTCCAGTTTAAAGCAACAACACGATTCAAAATCCCGATTTAATAAATTTAACCCAAGTTCATGTGCTCTAAGTTAGTTAAAGCATCCGAATGATTTCTTGACACCTCTTCACGCTCCAGACTAGTGCCTTCTAGGCCCATTGATCTACTGTAGGTAATAAATTGCGCTGGTTTGACGTCGCAATACCATTTGTTACACCAGCTTGCCTCCCCGTGGACTATTCTCGGTAAAGATTCTACTTCCTTGAAACCAGGAGATATTCACCCCGGGAAATAATCCAGCAAGAGACAGGTGTTTCAGAATTAATAAGTAAATTCTCGAATGAAGTCCATGATCTAGATGAACATTTATTTGTTGCCTCATTACTTTTACACAGGGCCCGTGAGAGGGGGAGGATGGCAGCTGGGACACTTGTCCAGGGGCCCAAAGCCTAGTCCCGGAGGTATGCCGAGTAATATTTTAAAAACAATTGCTGGTATAAATTAAAATTAACAAAAATACACTGTTACTTGATCATAAAGTAGAAGAAAACCTGTGAGCACCTAGTGGCGTGGGTAGGATTAGAATCGGATTCTGTTAGTCCCATTTTTTTGGAAAAATTGGTGAAGAAAAAACTATAAGACAACTGTCCGAGAAAAACAAAAGAAAGCGGAAATGGATGATAACGCTCGAACCCGACGAGGTTTCCTACCAGGTATAGGTGTGGCTATGTGCCTTCCTTCCGAAAAAGTGCCTTTAACTTCAAATACTGGCGGAAATGCTCGCACTATACTGTCTTCATATTCGCATTGCCCTATTTACGTGTAGTACATTGTGTCCTCTTTTCCTGCTACCCTTCTTGTGTCTTGTTCCAAACAGATCCAGCTATACTAAAAACAAATCGGGCTCAGTGTATGTACATGCATCATCGATGAATCTTCCTTGCCTTTAGGCTCTCAGCCTCAGGAAACTAGATAACCCTACCCTTGGACCAACTAGTTTCGCTGGGCCCCCATCGCGGTGACAAAATACGTGACATGACGAGAAAATGAAACTAGCACGTCACTCATAGTTCATTTTTCTCCTCGTATTGAATCCATATTATATTGCAGTGGATACGAAGATGAATTTTAGTTATTTAAAAAAATATGTCAAATGATGTTAAAGGGACCCCAAATTAGTAGTAAGCAAGCAAACAGTGAGGCTGATGTCCCCCGCCGAAATCCCAAAATAAATAGATGACATATTAATTAATCGCACATTTATTCTTTTCAAATGTATCAATCAATCAAACTGATTATCAACAATACATTAAAGGACAATATTGGTGCCAGTCATTATCACATATGTGATAGAACTAAATAAACACGTTCCAAATATAATTTTAACACAGAGATCATTGCTACGATAGCTGAGTAATACAGGTTTCCTGAATCGGAAGTGACGAACGCCAAATCAGATTACTTATCCCTGCTTACAGTAAGCAGATAATGTTTATCACCGAACTCCAATCAAGGCATTTACCTAATGAACGCCTACACCAAGGTTGAACATTCTACCTCAATTAGAAGGAGAGTTATTGTGTTCCAAAGTCTCGATCAATTAAATTGCTTATGCTTATCGCTCTGCTTAACCAGAGCAGAAAATGCTCATTATCGAACTTGGTCAAGATTGATGTGATAAAATCTAATTGCTTATCTCTGCTTACCCTAAGCAGACAATTCTCATCTTTAAAACTATACACCAAATTTCACCACACTTACTTAATTAGAACCAAAGTCATCATGTCCCAAAGCATCAACCAATCAAATTGCTTATCTCTGCTTACCCTAAGCATGCTCATCTTCGAACTCCATCAAGCAAGGCATTGACCTAATAAACATCTACACAAGTTTCAACATTCTAGCTCAATTAGAAGGGGAGTTATTGTGTCACAAAAAGTGTGACGGACAAATAGACAAACAGACCCATATTTATAGTCCCTTGCTTTCTTCGAAAGGCGGGGGACAAAAGTTATTTATTATTTGATTTTTTTATGTTGTTCTAAATAAATCGATCTGTCAACTACACTGACACTCGAATTGCATTTGAGTGTTTGACGGACAATGAACCCAATATGGCCGTTGATATTTTA